AGGCTAGATACTCAATATATACTTTCAATTAAAATTCCTTTTTTTGATGCCAAAATATTACATTCAACTCAACGATTCCATAGTTAATTAAGTTAATTAGATTTTAGTGTGAAATTATTAAATTAATGTTTCACCTAATTATTTGATCACCTTGCTCAATTAAATGATCTCTTAAATGGTCCTAATGTTTTGTTTTCTTGTTTTTTTTTAATGTAAAATGTATTACGATTTTCGAAACACTTGACAATTGGGAAGCCCATCCATTTACCTCAGCAAATAAATTACTACGATGCATTTTCATTGTCAAAATACAGACGGGCGGGCTGCCCATAAATCGACTGCAACTTTTTTACAATATTGCTCGCTTCGATGCGGATGAGATAATGTCGTTAACGTCTTTCAATTGTGCCAACAAAATGTATTTCATTTTCTATTTCTATCATTTTAAAAATATATTTTATTTGATTTTTCAATAACAATGAGTTTACACATATGTACATTTCTATATACCTAATGCAGGCATAAAATAATGCCACACTCAATGTTCATTTCCCGCACTCTGGTTAGCAAATAATTCAACCCAATTCCCATGTCTTCATGCATGTATGTATTATGTATATATGTTTTCTATGTTTGTGGAGTACACACATGCATATGCACATTATGCGCGATTTTTTTTGTGCTCAACTTTCTTTTTGCTGCACCTAAATTTTCATTAAAAATAATACGTAAAATAGTTTAGTTCTGAAAAAGAGACGCCATAAATTGACAATAACAAAGTAATCTTTCAATTGAGTTACACACACACACACAGATGCCACTGAATGGGTGATGGTGTATGGGTGACTGTGTCATAGTCACAACATGATTTCCATAATATACACGATATATACTTAAACAAGGCACAGTCTATACCTCTGATTTGTGCTAAAAAAAAAATACAAAAAATTGTGGTGCGTTCAGTTATTGTTATTGTTTTCGTTTTTGGGCTCACGTGTTTGTGTTATTGTTGTATCAACTTATAGAAAGTAAAAGTTCAAAAATTCACAATTTTTGAAAACGCCTATTAGAGATAATAGCCTATCATTACCCGCACAATACTGGCACAATGCGAGTATTTGAACTCTAGCCATTACAACACCTAGAAACTGGGCGCAACGACTGCGTTCGAGGCTGAAGCACTTCAGCGAATTTGGGTGTAACTAAGACTTCCTGTCCATTTCTTTGGTTGCCACGCTAGGCAGACACGTGTGCCACAATTTATTTATGCACAAAAGCAGTAAATGTGTAAATGGCCCGACTAAGTTAACAGAGTAACCTGTGCAAGTTCAGGGCGAAAACAATTTCAATTACGAGCACTTAACGCTGCCTATATACAAATTCATAAATGCAGAGAAAAAGGTATATTAACGCGCGGGTGCTTCTCATCTTTTTTTATCATACATACATACACACTCGAAAGCTTTTTATTTACGGATATAATTTTTGTGCAAATGCTATTTAAATTATTTACCCAATTACAAACATGTTCCTACTGTTAATTTCCCATTTGAATTAATTGTGTGCCATATTTGTTTAACTTGTTTATACAGAACTGTTTTTTTCCGCGTCTTAGCATCAAAATTTAGAATTTTGCTTTTACCGTGTATAAAAAAAATTTATATATATATATATATTTTATAATAATGTATAATTTTTATAATATATGTATAACAACATACCTATTAAATCAATTATATTTCGAATTTGGAATTATTGTAATTATAGAAATAACTTGCATAAATGAATGACAAAAAGAGACAATAAAAAAAATAGTTCAAAAATGTCCTTTAAAAACGCACAGATTTTTAAAACCTCCTTTTATTTGAAAACATATTTCAAAATATATTTTTTAAATGATAGACATATTTAAGGAAGCATTAAATATTAAATATTATATAGTTCAGTTGATTCTATTTGAAAACAATTCCAGTATGTAAGCAAATTCTTTCTACGATAGTCATCGCTCAATTATTCTATATAGAATGAATCATGACATAACTAAACCAATTTATTTCATTCATTCATTGCAGATACAAAGCAAAGGTACCGAACAACAAGTTAGCATCCAATTTTATGGCACCTAGCACATTATGTTTTTGTCTGAGCGAACAAAAAACGATTTGACGGACAACACATTAGAGCCAACAACTTCATGAACTACGTCACGATTTGTGTTTTTTACGGATTCACCGAAGCAAAAAACTGCCAAAATGAAAAGTAAATACCTAAATAGGAAAAGAGTCAAAGGTAAAAGTAGAAAAAAATAAAAAGTGCGTTTATCAATTTACTTTTTGCTATTGGCCTAATACCTCATTCACGTTCACGTGATCAATGGCTGGTAAGCGCTGACGTCACTTCGAGCCAAGACGGCGCTACCAAAGCAAACGTCACAGTCGACGGTCAACAACAGCTTGAATGGCCAATACTAGTACATCATTAAGATCGAAGTTAACATAAACTAGATACAAAGCCGGCTTTTGTTAATTGCCAGCAGCGCTCAGTTTGTTTTTTTAGAAATAAGTAGACGAAGAGCTTCTCCTCCCGACTGCAACACGTGGCGTATGCGTAATAAATACCAAAACCGAAGCTTACAATCAGTGCATGGCAAGGCCATAGAATTTGTAAAATTTGTTGTTTACATATTTTTGCTTTGTGATTTTTGCACTGCATGAACGAGAAACCGGTTGAGTGGTGCTTAAGCCAACCGCCACAAATCGCAATACACTATATGCTATATATACAGCCGTGCATACATTTTAAAATTGGGAAAGTATACAAAGACGCTTGAGTTATGCATTTCATTCGTTCCATTTGGGCTTCATTTTTTACAGAGTTTAAGCGCGCATTGTTACATGCACGCACAAAGAATAAATACAGTCAACACCAGTTAAGACAATTCAGCGTAAATTTAAAAATTGCTTGAATATAATATTTGAAAATTCTTTAATCTCAAATATTAACATTTATAACAAAATTGTGTAAGAAACAGAATTTGTTTTCTTCTAAAACTTAAAAATAAATTTTATAAATATAATTAAAATTACAAAATTAAAAAAAGGATTATATTAACCTGCTACTCCATATTTCCTTTGAGCCCCCAAAATAAATACATTATTACATTACTTTATACATTATTAGTTTGGAATAAACAAAAATAACATCTTAAATAATTTGATAATAATGTACATATAAGACATAAATTTCTTGTTTATTATTCAACTTTTTCAAGCCTAGAAGAATTTTAATATTCATGATTGAAGTCTCCACCTAACAATGGCGCTTTCCTGAACAATTTCTTTGATACTACAAGTAATATGCCATATTGATGTTTGTTGGAGTTAAAAAAGTAGTAAAAGGAAGTAAAAAAAATAATATAATTTTATTTTCAAAAATTATAGAAGGAATATATTTTTATTTGTTTTATTTCCAGAATAAGAGGATTCAAAATTTGAAGTTCCGGGACTCTTGCTTCAAAGCTTGCTTACCAACATTATCAGCAGTATGGAAGACAGATGCACGAATGTAATAACAAACATAGCTATAGTATATTGAATTATACGGTCATACTTGCTAAGTATATATATATGCAAATATACATATGTACATAGGGAAGTAAGCTTATACTCTATAAAAACCTTTAGACTAATGAGTTTTTATTTATATAATATTTACGACACATGGTTGTTATATTTTTAAATTTTAAGCATTACGTAGCGTACTGTATGTAAAAGTACATAATACTCATATATTCCCGCATATGGATGTAACCCATTAAATTTCAGGTTATTCGTAACACAAAGATTTCTGTTGAGTCGTTACAGCAAGCTGCTGTTTTAAGTAAGTACACAAGAAGTCGAACGCTAATTAAGATCAAATAAACAACATTATTTACTTGGTGCATAGGCCGTTATTTATATTGCTATTGATAAACTGAAGTTTCAAACTTATCACTGTCAACATCGCCAATACTATATACCAGTATATAGGTATGGTGATATCAAAACAGACAAAGGGTTATGCAGCAAGGCTCACGTTGAAAAGTTGATCCAGAGAGATGAAGAGAGATAGAGAAACACATAGAGGGGTCTTTGAGATGTTTTTTATTATTGAATTAGAGGATTTCCCATTTTAAATCCTAGCAGGTTGGAACTGCCTTTTTGAATATGATTTGTGTTTTTTTGCAGTAAAACTATTATTTCAAAAGTGGAGCCTACTCCCTCATTTTCTAGGAACTAGTTTCCAGCGCTTTCAATCGAAATTCTTCATCAATCTACTTCTTTCTGGCAGTAGCGGGAATATGAGCATTTCCAACAGTATTAGATCAATAATTCATGTAGGGAAAGATGGAACTATTAATATCTTTAACCACTTAAGATAATTATACAGCTATTTTTCTGCTCTTACAATAGAATTGCTTTTAGTTCCAGAATAGAAATACTTCTTCTAAAAGAAGAAAGAACTTTTACAGAACGTTCCATAAGAGAGATATGGAACTAGAATAAAATTGCTTGTATTTCTTAAAGCGCTGCAAGTAATGAGTTACAAGTTCAAGTATCCTCCAAAAATTATAAAAAGTGCTTTAGAAAGCTAAAGACTGGAGCCAAGTGTACCTTATTCTATACGAGTATCATAACTGAATATAATGTACTACATAGGTATGATATCGTTTTTTCTCTTGCGCTCAATCTGCCTAAATGTTTTATCCGCACTTGCAGCTCGCACCCGCCGCCACTTATGTGTGTCCGGTGTGTGGAAGTGTGTGTGTGTATGTGTGTGTGCCTCTGAGCAGCCGTCGCGTTTCGCGCATTGCTTAAATAAATGGCGTCCCACGTCGGTTTTGATTTAGTCGTTAACGCGCGGCCAAAGCGATCGCATCGCCAACTGAAAGGTAGAAACTAACAGCCAGAAAACAAATAAAAACATTAAATGCTAAGCCGTGTCGTCTCTAATCGTACCTGAGATATGTTTAGAATAAAATAAAATAAGTAAAAAGTGCCACCTAATTAGATTTGTGTTAAATGTTTGTCAACATTTTATAATCAAAAATTTTCATAAAAACGCTAATAAAGTTGCTAAAAGTTTTAATAGTTAAGGAATTTCTTTATTGTTATTGAAGTGTCGCATAGGTTCACAAACAAGTCGAAGCGCATTCAACTTTATTTGCAAAATTTACTAATTTAAAGACTAAGCGGTAAGCTCCTAATAAATAATATACTATACTATATGCATATATGAACATTTTGAAGTATGCAAAAGGCAACCAGAAATTTGAAATCCCCCCAAACGGAAGTGTGACAACGTTTGGCAAATTAGTTAGAACGCGTCTCATACTAGTCACTCATGCTCGAGTGAACATTACGCTTTAATTGAATGAAACTATTTGCCAGCAGGCTGGCAAACACACACACACACACACACCACTGAAAATTTAAATTAATTACAGTTAAAATTAGCAGCGACACAGCACAAAAGTTGACGTAAATTATTGATCAAATGCATGAAAATAGATCAGCGGAAAATTGTGAGATAAATTCCTTTGAAAAGCATTCCTTTGCACAATCTTTTCTACTGCGTTTTTGATGTATATTTGGGCAAGAAATCCAATTTAATATTTAAAATTCAGGGATGTAGTCGGAAGAAACAACAAAGAGATTTATGGTATATACTTTTCTTTGTCCAGAAAATTTGTATGTGATCGATCAATTATTAAGGAGCAGTGATGGTTGTATTAGCTCCACTGCTCGTGTAGGTGTTTATAAATGCATGTTGAATGTGTAAAGACCGAAACTTCTTTGAGGGGCTTTAAAATATTTACAATTTTATATGAGCTTTCCATTCTTTTACCAGGTATACAAGTCCATTAACCCAAAATTTAAGAATCTTTTCGTTTTGCTATAAGAAAGCCTACTTAAATGTATGATTCGTCAGCCGATTTGTTACGTAATTTCATTTTTTAAATGCTAGCAGATGTAGGATGACATAATGCCTGGATTTACACATTTATTTTTTCGTATTAAGCAAAACAAAGCCAAGAGGTAGTAATATGTACTGCAACATTACGCAGCAGATGATTAAAAAAAGCTAGGATTAAACAACCGGAACGTGTCTGACTCAAACACAGGAAACAGATTGAAAATTTATAAAATGGCTTAAGCCTAATATAATTCTCTGCTCAAAGTTGCATCTAAATCGCTTTGCAACTGACAGTCTAATCTAGCTTAGAAATAAATGAGAAATGTAAATTAAATTCGGATCATATCAGTCGAACAAATCAAACAATAAAGATTAAGTTATAAAAAGCTAAAATACCAAATGTATATAACAAGCAGAAGTTAAAGGTATATACTATATATACTACAAGTATATGCCCAGGACAAAATGAATTAATATATGTACGTCCGCCCGTCTTCCCAGACAATGTTTATTACAAACTTCCTCATTTTCATTACTTCATTTAGATGTCACATGCATATATCAGTCTTTGTACCAACCACTTTTTTACTAAATCGTAATCAAAATGAATTCGTGCAACAGATTTTTAGTTGAAGCCCTGTAGCGAGAGAGTACGCAAGAGTCGGACATAATTAAGCTGTTTCAAATTAACATTTTGTAATCATTAATGAGCTAAAAATAAAGGCAATTCTACTAACTATGAAGTCAAAACGGAGGTTAGCTTTTATATATAACTAAATACACAAATAAAATATTTGTTTAAAAAATCATAAAAGCATTTCAATAAAAAGCATTAAATAAAAGTCAATTAATCAAGGCAAACTAAAATGTAACGAATATGTGTGCAAATTGTTTGATTGTCTGTTCATAGCTTAAAGAAAACAGTAAATCGTTGAAATTAAGAACAAATTTCTATCAAATTCAGCAGTAACATGATCGCTTTCTTCGCAAGGCTTTCATGCTTATATGGCCGCTTCCAATATCAATATTACTCATACGACCTGGATACACAGCATAAGCTCTTCAACTTTTGATATAATTGCAAATTATTACAGCAACTTCAAAAGAAATAAGCGTATAGCCACACCTAATCCCATCTGATCTAGCCAAACTGAACACTTACCCAAACCATCTATCTAAAGCCTTAATCTGTTCTCAGTCTAAAATTGAAACGTAATTAGATTAAAGCTGCCTCAGTGGATAGTGTTGGATTTTTTCGAAAGTAATATTTCGCAAATGCATACACGAGTAAAACGATAGCAGGGAGGGCGGCTAAAATTACCGGCTACAATACAAAATTAAGCTTCGCACAGAACTGTATTGTTCAGTTTGTAGTGGCGCTGGGGCGCTGACATTAGGCACACCCTGAGGTATGCCGCAGCAGAACCAAACCCGACCCGAACACCAAGCAATTCAAACTGATTGTTCTCTCTTTCCATATGCAGTGCGATCATTTCTGATTTTCACAGTTTAAGTTACCATTTCAAATACAATTTAATTATAGTTTTTGCACATCGTTTTCAGCGGTGCACCTCGCTTGCAACGTTTCTCAAGTATTCGGGGAGATGCATATTTTTGTAAGCCGCTTAAAAATTTAAAAAACAAAAAACCAATTCTTAAATGTCAACGCATTTTGAAGAACTTGCTAAGTACATAGCTCAGTAGATTTATTAAAATCAGTTTTGTAATCTTTTCAAGCTTATATGAATATTGCGTGTAAGTAATTACAAAATGACAAAATTAACTAGCGAACAAATCAAATAAAACAAAAAGCAAAGCGGAGCAAGGTGAACAACTTTTTTGAAACAAACCAAAATTAATTCTGGCTTAGAAGCTGTCGAGTCAGTCGCTGCAGCTCTGTCTACTTAACCATTGATATTGCCAACACGTCGCTCTTACAATTGATTGTTAATTCATAAACACTCACAAGCATACCAGTACCCGAGTATATCAACAAATAAGTATTTCAATAACCGCTAAGCTAAGGCCGGCCACCTTGGCGCTCATTGAACTCGTCAGACTCGCTGCCAGACGACTACAAAAGTCGCGTGCTTCGCGACCGCCGCGCTGTTTTTCACGTGCGTAAAACGCGCCAAAGCTTGAGACTTTTCGACGCGAAAATTAGAAATACTCTACACCCCAAACAGGGTTAAGGGGGGCATATACATTCAGCGACAATATGGGTAGCACATAAAAACAATTATGTATTTACTTAACTTTATTTTATTTTTATTTAATGCTGAGAATTAAAATTGTTAGCAGTTGATGAGAATTTAATCAACATGTCTCAGTTTTCATTTATAGATATTTTTACAGAATTTTTTTCTGAATTATCACTATATTTAAGCCGAAATGTAACATTGCTAATACAGAAATAAGAAAATTTTGGAATTAAGCTTAGAGTTCTATATGTCTGCACTTCTTATACATATCTCAGTTTTCCTTTATATTTTCCAAATTGCAAACTATCCATAATACAATTTATGCTTTTCATTCTTGAATTCCTTTAAAAAAGTATATTCTTTTATAGAGTTGACATTTTTATGGCTCAGAATTCATCAATAGGTGACTGCCATCGTCAATTATTTTTTTTTTTTAAATACAAGTATTACATTTATTTATTTTTCTTGTGCCTGTAAATGCACAATTCTTTTCATTCGAAGATGCTTTACTTGTATAGGGAAATTTCCCAGTCGTATTTTATGCCTCATTTTGCTTTTACTTGAATTCTTGTTTTGCTTGAAATGCTATTTTAAGTTGACATTTTTTCATTTCTGTTTTGTGTAAATGTTTGCCAATAATTTACATAAAATAATGCGCAGAAACGTTGTGATTTGTTTTTCAACACAAAATCAAATTTAATTAATAGCCTTTAGCATTTTTTCTAATCTTTTATTTTGGCCGCAGATTCTCCAGTTTTAACCTGTTCCAGCTAGACATTCCTAAATTATTCACTGTTTTATGTGAATTGAGCATTAATTAGAATGAAATCGAATGGAAGTGAAGTGGGAGAGTGTGCTTTTGTTAAATTTTTTTACCTGTGGGAGTAATGATGAGTTTTATATTTAAGAATGAACGAAAACAATGTACTACAGAATGCACAAATCATGCGTAACTTTTACAAAATGTGCGCAATAATCAATAAATTTGATTAATATTCTTGATTCGCAATTATCAGATTTTGAATAAAGAAAACAAATACGAACATGAGTTCGCAATTCACTTTACGCTTCAGCATTACAAGTATAGTTTTTTTTCTTTTTCAAAAAAGAATAATCAAGAAACGTATAAAAAAAATATGAAATGAAAAAATTAAAAATGAAAAAAAAGTTGGTATACTCTTTTACCCTTTATATACAGGTTTGAAAAGGCTCGGGCGTTAATCAGTTGAATTAAAAGAGCCCCAAATATTTTGTGTGTCATCTATACTTGTATATATTTTAGAGGTCTGGCAAATACATTCATTTTAAAGAATTTTTAATTTATTCGTTTCTGGCAAAGACAGCAAAACCGTAAAGGGAATCCTAAAAATATACTGTTCGTAATATCAAGAAAGAATTCTTTCCCAATTCTAAAACAGACACAATATTTGAAAGCCACGTGAGTTAGGTTTATTTATACATAAAATCATATGAAGTTTCGAACAATTTAAACTTATAATTAATTTAATTTTGCAATAGCTTTCCACTTAAAAAAAAACGGCTTCAATTTCGCAATTACGTGTTTATGGATCGTTACTAAATAGCTTTAGCCTACAATACATGCTAGACATAAATCTGTTCTGTTTATTTAGTTTTAAGACTCTCATAAATAATTCATATTGAATCGTAGTACGTTAAACCATTCACACTAATGTAGTTAGTTCCTAGTATGTACAATAGAACACCTTTTTTATTCCCAAAAGTCAATTAAATATTGTGTAAAAATTTTTCCCCCACAAATATTTAATGACTTCCGCATATCTTGCAGTTAATTATTGGTACGCTGTGGGTTTGATCTCAGACAACACCATATTTAAACAAATAAAACTTGATTTACTTGAAATTATGCATGCATACGACTACTAGATTGAAGATATATGTGAAGACTTATTGTGTAGGTGAGAAATTGTTGAATGGAAAAGCTACGACTTTGAAAAGGCAGTCAAATTGTGGGTTAATCAATCGTAGATTAAACATTGGAGCTCATCTTCATGCGTTAACCTCGTGATCTATTAAATAGAATGGAAAATTTGAGGAAGTATTTAGCTGTTGATTTTTATTGTTGCTGGGAAATTGATAATTGTTGTTTTTTTTTATTTGAGCTTTGATTTGCAAAATCTGCTATATATCGCCTGGCCAGATTATCTTGGCTCGATCTTAACTGCCATGTTGCCTAATGGAGGCAATAAAACGTCACTCAACCTGCTAGCATGTCATACATATTTTCTAATTAAGATATGGATAATTGCTGCTGTCTTCAGATAAGACTTAAATTAAACAAAATACGCGCAAAAGGGGTACTTGCTATATTTACGTGTATCCCACCCACACACACACACACACACACACACACAACACGTCAGTCCAAATGAAAATCACAACAAAGTCCAAAAAGCAACAAAAACAACAAGAAAATTGGCTGCAATTACAAAATGTTTTCACGTTTCTGCCGCCGTGCACGACATGTTGATGATGTTTGCGGTGATCATGACGTTGACAATGTGTGATATTGCTTGTGGCATATATATACCTACTATATATATATCTGACTATACAGATGTGTGTGTGTGTTCAATTTGTCTGAGCACAGTCGGGCGATGCTTGCCACTCAACCAGTTGCATTGAACTTGACACTGTCAGCGCTATTTTTAATGTGCAATTAGGTCAGTGCAACAATTTACTCTGAACTCGTTTCCTAGACGCACTGGTTGACTGAGACGGAGTCAAGAGAAGAGGGAGAGAGCCGAGAGGTATAGAGAGAGCATAACGCAACCCTATCAACACCCTGCGAATGCCAAAAATTAAATAACGATATGCCAAATGTGCCGAGTTAGCCATATACATTAGTGGGTTGTACGACAAGTATTAGCACAGTTTTCTTTTTTCCAAAAAATTTCTATACTATTTATTAAACCAGTATTCTGCTACCAATATGACAGCTTAAGCTAGTTGCAAATAAATAGGGAATACAAGAATTGTCTATAGTATACATCTATAGGACACACTTAAACCTATGTAAATATAAAATGCAACATTTACAATATGTTTAAATTAAATATGAAATATATTTTAAGAAATTATATATTATACACAAAGGAGCTCGTGTGGAGATCTTAAGCAGTTCTTAAGTCTTCTTTTCCTGGGTCTTGAGAGCATTTTTTAAAATCCTAAGATCTTAACATCTTAGAAGCAAATCTTCATAAACTTATAAAATCAGGAGTTGATTAACTAATGGAAAATATTAATAATTGCTAGTAATATACTATACATTTTTGTTTTTAAATCCAATTCGGGATGATGTTTTATCATTTTGATAACTAACTACATCCGCACATAACACCAACCTGAAGTAATGGCTATTTCTGAGAACTCCACTCCAACTCTCCTCCTCCTCCTCCTTGCTTTTTTCTTTGTACATACATATTTCCCTTGTATGATCGGTCAATTAATATCTTACCACCCTCGGACCTGGGCCAATATGCAATGCGTTGGTCGCATGACGTGTTTATGTCTTGCACTTGATATTTGGGGCTGGCAGCCAGGTAGGGTAATTTTCTCTTTTGGTTGAACGCATTTCCCCGGCACTGTTACGCTGCTATTTAAGTTTTCGATTCACAATGTCGTCCATTGACGTTTGACTTTGATTGCAATGCACTTAACGCATTTTTCGGTTTCTCTAGCTGCAGTCATGAGTAAAAATGGACACAGCAATGCGGGCTTTGTTAGCGAACATGTGGACAGCAAGAAGCCGCCAAGTAATTGCTATTCCCTTGAGATGGCCGAAAATGGTGCTACCAAGTCAGCGATTATAGCCAAAGATCCCGACTACAATCCCTACGAGAATCGCGAGGTGGAGCATCCTACAACGTAAGTAATGATATATACATAGACTTGAAAATATTTTTTACACCTGAACAATATTTTCAGCAACTATGAAACGCTTTTTCATCTGCTCAAAGGTTCGCTGGGAACGGGTATTTTGGCCATGCCCAACGCCTTTAAAAATGCTGGCTACCTAACCGGTTCCATAGGCACCATAGTCATAGGCTTTATATGCACTTACTGCATCCACCAACTGGTCAAGGCGGAGTTCGAACTTTGCCGACGCAAAAAGGTGGGTTATTCGACTTTCTTCTCTATAATTGAAATACATAATACTTACTTACCTTTCAATTTTAGATTCCCAGCATGAATTATCCGGCCGTTGCAGAGACAGCCATGGGTGAGGGTCCAAAACTATTCAGAAATTGCGCACCCTACATTGGCACAGTGGTCAACACCTTCCTCCTAATCTATCAGCTGGGCACTTGTTGTGTATATGTGGTGTTTGTGGCGTCCAACATCAAGTCCATTGTGGATGCGGTTTATGAAACCAACGTTGATGTGCGGCTCTGCATGATCATCATACTGCTGCCATTGATCCTTATCAACTGGGTGCGAAATCTCAAGTATTTGGCACCCTTTTCTACGCTGGCCAATGCCATTACGATGGTCTCCTTTGGCATTATCTGCTACTACATTTTCCGTGAGCCTCTGGATACTGACGGCAAGGAGGCTTTGGGACGGCCCCAGGACTTTCCTCTTTTCTTTGGCACTGTGCTGTTCGCCCTGGAAGCCATTGGTGTCATCTTGCCGCTAGAGAACGAAATGAAAACACCGAAGAGATTTGGCGGTTCATGTGGTGTGCTCAATGTCTCCATGATTCTTATCGTCTTCCTGTATGTGGGTATGGGTCTGTTTGGCTATTTGAAATATGGAGGCGATGTGCTGGGCTCCATAACGCTCAACCTACCGGCCAATGACATGTAAGTTGTTAACTATACCGTAGACTACATCCATCCATCCTAAAAAATTATTCAAATGAAAGAAGTGCGGACTCTTTCGACATACAATATGTATAAGGGAATTACATAACAGAATCGTATTTAATATATTCTCAACAAATTCATGGCCATGAAAAAAGGAAAATAAATTCAGTAAAGAAACATGAACTCCTTCCACTTCCTAGAAAAAAGGCGAAACAAGATCTCAAGAGTTAGTGGATTAAGCAACAAAAGACAAATATTATATCAAGAAATTGTATTACACATATTATTCTTCAAAAATGACACCCGCAATTTTTATTTTACTAACTTTTTGTTCATCTAAATTGTTTAGCCTGGCCCAGTGTGTGAAGGGCATGTTGGCGTTTGCCATTTACATAACTCATGGCCTGGCCTGTTATGTTGCCATCGACATTACCTGGAACGATTATGTGTGTAAGAGATTGAGCGCACAAAGCAACAAACTCTTTTGGGAATATGCAGTGCGCACAGCTCTTGTTTTGGTCACCTGTAAGTACCAACTATACAAGTACGTTCCAATCTATGGACTTGACTTTACTAAACGAAATTATAATCCACAGTCTTGCTCGCCGTTGCTATACCTAACCTGGAACTCTTTATTTCGCTTTTTGGTGCACTTTGTCTGTCTGCCTTGGGGCTGGCATTCCCAGCGCTCATTCAAATCAGCACACATTGGTATCACTCGAAGGGCTTGAGAAAGGCATGGTTGCTATTAAGTAAGTTTTAATGTGATGTCACAGTAAATATTCGATCTACTTATAAGTGTGCCGTTTTATTTGCAGGCAACTTCGTGCTGATTATTGTGGGCATTCTGGGTCTTGTTATTGGCACATACACTTCGCTGAAAGAGATTGTCATCACCTTCTCGGAATAATTGATCAACTATCTGTTGGTTGTTATTATTCATACTCTTTGTTTATATCTCTTTGAGTTCGTACCACTCATTGCAATGGTTATTATGTTATTTGCAAGAGCAAACTATCATCTTAGAGACAAATTAGGCGATAGAAATGAATCGAAACTAGTAAATATCCTTAAACATTCTTAGCGTGTGTAACAAATGGGCCAAAAGCACAGAAATATTATTTGTGTAGAGTGCTAATATAAGCTAGAGATGTATCAGATTTGTGATATTTTCAAACAAGAAACTAAAAACATTGTGCCCAAAAATCTTTATAAATATAAACCATACTATAACGACATTATTTATAAAATTTATATAAGTAAATAGTTTAGCGTTTAGTTATAAAGAAAACAACAACTATAAACAAATACACATACATATGTATCAAGTATATGTATAATAATAAAATGAACAATAAACACACATTGGCCATACTAAATATTAGGAAAGTGTTTTTATATAATCCTTCAAAGCTCGACACAATCGGGTTATTCCATCCACTAGTTTGTCCTTCTTATGAAATGCAATTGATAAGCGGAAGCAATGCTTTCCATTATCGCCTTCCAGAGCAAACCTTGGACCGGGTATAAAGAAAATCTTCTCATGCTCCAGACTATACGTAAGAAAGTCACGTGCATTCAAGTGCTCAGGCAAGGATATCCAAATGAAATAACCCCCTTTGGGTACTATTAAAGTGCAGCTTTCCGGCAGCTGCTCGTTCAGCACTGCAATCACGGCCTTCATGCGTTCCTTGTAAGCCTCATACAGACGTGAAATATGCGATTGGGCCAATCCCAACTCGAAAAGGCTTCCGATAATGCCTGCGGTATAGTTGTTAAAGCATCCACCGCTGTTGATAATACCACTGCGTTCTAGAATGGGTTTAAGACGTGGCGGCACCTCCAGCCAGCCTAAACGCACGCCCGGACCAAGTATTTTCGAGAAGCTGCCATTCGATATAACATGACCGGCGAAGTCTGTATCCGTGCGCGCGTCGTAGCTAAGCAGGCGTACATGTGGGGGCTTCTCATCGTAGCTCAGAATATTATAGACATCATCGCATATGACCACAAAGTTAAATTTACGCGCAAGCGCCACAATTCCCCGACAAACAGCTGTAAGGTAAGATATTTTTCAGAGAATCTATTTCTGTGTTAACCCCAAGTCTTACCTGGTGAGAAGAGTATGCCCGTTGGATTGTGATAGGTAGGTATTGTGTAGTACATCGCCCAGAATTCCTTGCCATTTGGCTTAAAGCAACGTTCGCGTACTTTAGCTTCCAAATCCTTCAAGTCCACGCCATCATCGTTGAGTTTTACTACAAAAGGTACACAATTTCACGATTTATTCTTATTTTTTAGCTTTATTATCTCACCAGGCACAATGGTGAGAGTCGTAAATTCTTTCATGCTATCTAGCGCTATCATATATGTGTACTCGTCCACAAATATGTAACCATTAAAGTCAACCAGTGTGGATAACGAAAAATGTAGACCTTGTGAAGCTCCCGTGGTTATTATCAAATCCTCACTGAAACCGCAAAAGAATAAAGTCTATGATTTAGTGAAAAAGGATAAAGAAATTGTAAAACAAGAAATTTCAACCTTTTCATCGCACTATCATACATGCTGCTAAAATATTTGGCAATTTCATGCCGAACATCGAAGCACCCACTTGTTGGGCCATATTGAAACAGCAGTGACCGGTTTTCGCTCTTCTCATATTTCTAGACGTTTGCAACAAAGGAATAATAAATGTTACTCAAATAAACTATAGATGTTTAATATATATGTACATATTTACCAGCCGATGTGCAGTAGCCTGTTGGAATATATCGCAACAGGGCTCTAGGAGATCAGTGCCGGGTGCGCCTACACCTAGATTCAGTACTTTCGTCTCATACACATTCCAGTCGCTTCCATCAAAGAGATGCTTGAGCTTAGGATCCTCATTCTCGTGCGACATTGGACTAGGTTATCAGCAGGGCTCGCTAAATTGGACTAATCAGACAGAGAGATAAGAATAACTGCGAAGGGTTTGAAAATCTAACACTTTTGCCATTCACTGACATCTCGTTTATTTGACATTCACTTTGAAAGAAGTAAACAGCTGATACCCGCAACAGTGCAACCATAATTTCATTGAATCGGACAAATTTTGTAAACAATTCGAAGGCAAACTAAGTTCTGCAATATGGAAAAGGAGCAACAGCCCACAACATCAACGCACAATCAGTTGCTGGACTCGCCACGTGGTCCAACATTGTCCACCAGTACATCCAGCTTTGAGGCTTTGGATGCACACGACCCGAATTTGAGTAGATTGGCCACGATAATGTTTCGCAAGACTGAGGAATACATTACTCAGGAGCTAAATGGTCCACTCGAGGACTACAAACTGCTGGAGGAGATGAATAAGGCTACAATTGCCAAGTACAAGGATATGAGCCAAATAGCCGACAATCTCAGTGTTTCGACAAATGAGCTCAGCCTAAAATTCCAGCAGTTGGCCCCGCTGATGCAGCAAATTGATGAAATATCTGACACAGTGGACAAGCTGGAAGCGGCAGCCTACAAATTGGATGCGTATAGCATAGCACTGGAGAATCGTGTCAAGTGCGTCTTAAAGCGCAAGTCGGGTGCGAACACGACGCAATAAAAATCGGCTAAGTCTAAGACAAAAAACATTATAGAGTATATTTATTTCAATAGTCTCTACATTATCCAAGTAATAATTTAAATATAATCGCTATTATATTAAGAAATATCAGCGGAACTGCAAAAATAAGAATTATTTTATTAGTTATTGTATGTGTATACATACATATATCTATTTACTTTTGGCGACTGTACGTATAGAGCGGATGAGATTGAGTACTTGATCTTTTGCCGATGGAGCACCAAAATCCTGCTGACCCGCTTGTCTGCCCCAGCCAACTGAAAAATAACACGTTAGCTATGGTTGAGTTGACTGTTCTGATGCTACTTACACTTTGCCAGGAAGCGTTCCTCATGCAGAATGCATACGGCATTAAGGCAGAGCAGCGAAGCCTCAATGAGCGTCCAAAGTGTAAACATTTTCTTACAAAATTTGTTGCAATATAGCTTTAGAGTCAGACGCACACTATTTTGTTGACGTCAGCTGGTTTGCTTTTGCCTGCCAATAAGATTCAATTGTATAGAAACAGCTGTTTTTCTGTCATTCACAAAAAACGTATTCGAAAACATAAAGCATCTTTTTGCCGGCTTGACTTTTCAATAAGTAAATTTATGCCACCGCAGTTGAAGCACAGTTGTTGACAAATATTCTTCCTCTTTATGATCCACTTTAATTAGCATTATTGTTAATCCATTGAAGTAAACTTCAACTATATATTTCGTATGTCTAAAACGAATGTTTGATTTGAGTTTCAAAACAATCTGAATATCTCAAACTTATTTTGTTGGAATGCTACGAAATGTGAATGTTAACTGAAATTACAGGTAGACTCTCGGCTTTAACTCATTTAAAATGTTAGATTCTTAAAAACCACTGAGGCAAATGGAACATCACAAAGAACCGATAAGTTGCAAAAAGCATTACCCTTTATTTTATCATTTTTACATTTGCAAAGTATTCGCCATTTTCATGCAAACGCTGTCGTCATCCTTCTATAAAAATAAATTGTTTGCCACGAATCTACCTTTGTCTAATGCTAAAATTCCTCAAATTTTTTATGATGATTATATTTGTTTCAATAAAAATAAGACGAACATTTTGTATTTCAAAATTATCCACACTAACAATTACTTAATTTCGGCATTTGTAAACTGGGATAGAAAAAATAGATATATTTAATTTATAAATTTATTTATTTTTTTAATAAATAAGTATATATGTTTAGCAATGACATCATTATTTGATGATACAATATTTAAAATACATATTTGTTAGCCGTTTTTATTGCGCTAATCTCATATTTGATCCAAACCACATATTCTATTGTGGCGCAAATTCAACAAGTCGTTGAAACGAGATATTTGCATCAGCTTGGCATGTCTTCAAGGTATTTAGAAACGCGTTTTTCAGCACTCTTCACTGTTGTCGAGAAAGAAGAAGATCAAGTTATTTACACTGGGTGGCCAAGCATTTGGAATTTTTTGCTGATTAAAAATAGTTTAAATAGTGTGAATTATTTAAACAATGGCGTCTCTGAAGCAACTAATTGTGCTTCTTAGCTCTGTGGCCACTTTTGGGTACACTTTTTACGTGGTCGGCAAGTTAATGCTATTTTTGTCCTTGCCACGAAACATAAGCAAAGCCCACACCTGGATATTTAATTTACTTGACAATAGGTCTCGCATTGAGACTGCTTATGGACCGATTGTCTATGACACGCTCTTCCTGATAGCCTTCATCTTCCAGCATAGCTTCACGGCTCCGATATTACGTAAATTGGGCTGCCAGGCGACCCTCCGTACTATTTATAGTCTGACATCATCGATTTGTTTACATGTGCGTACAACAATAACAATACGCTTTTATACACATAATTTACATATTTTATTGTTTATATACCATTTAGTATTTGGTGCAAAACTGGTTGCCCGCCACTTCGATTGTGTTGTGGCAAGTTGATGTAAGCGATAGTGCTGTACTTTGGTGGACTTTTGTGATCACGCATGGCATATGCTGGATTGTGATTTATGGCGGAAGTATTATTATGGATTTACCTGAGCTGTTGGGTATCAAACAAGCATACTATGATATGAAACAGTATGCACCGCCAATTGCCTACAAATCCTCAGAACTACGCAATCTCTATTCCCATGTCCGTCATCCATCATTTGTGGGTTTCACCATCATTCTGTTTGCCACAAATGTAATGAGTGTGGATCGCCTTCTGCTGGCCGTGCTACTAACCACATATATGTATGTGGCCTGGTCTACCGATCAGAGCGATGTGGCTTACCAGAAGCAGCAGCTGCAGCGAAAGAAGCTGGAATTGAAATCCCAGTGAAGAATTGACATCTCAACTTACCTTTAAAAAACCATTTACTTAATGCATTTTTTAACATAAGACTCTAACTCAAGACTAATTCATTTTTATAAGCACACATTTTATTTTTTGTACGCTCACATGTGTAAAATAAAAATCTAACTCATTCGTACCACCGCAGGATCAAATGGTTGACCCTTAAATGGTGAGCCTTCAACATCCCACGCTTGTCGTAGACGTTCCAATGTTTTAGCCTGCTCGGGGTCTGCCTCGGGACGTATTCTGTGTTCCTCATCCGCTGCAATTTGTTGTACACGCAGTTTCTCAATAGCCGATTGTGAGCACTGGGGCAATTCATCCACATTACGTTCACAGTCCAGCTTCGTCACATCGATTTCCTCATCGCCCTCAAACAGTTTGTCCCACCAGCACTCTTTCGATTTGTCTATGAGCGTAAATAGTTAATATTAATCATTAAAAAAATGGCGTAGCACAAACCACAACTTATGAGCAGTCTGCCATTATCTATCGTCCACACGGCATCGTTGTGCTTAACGCGCTGACTGAGCTTGCCCTCTAGGACCATTTGCTGTGGGATTTTCTTACTACTAATTTTAATGTGCTGGGCTTTTATGTCGACGCATAATTGTTTGGAGTTCTGCAAGTCTTTCGGCAAATGCAACTGCACCTCTAGTTCCTTTAATGATTGTGACCAACAGTGTCGACCGAAAACGGCTCCATTTTTATAGTCGCTAGCTAAAAAACTAGGTTTACTCTCAGCCGAATCCTTACTAGATGTAGGCATTGAAAATTGGGGCTGTTCAGTCTCCAGAGTAACCTCCTCTATAGCTGGCGGCACAAAATTTGGTCTGTCGTTCGTGGCCATGGTTTGTAACCAACAGTCGGGGTCGTAGCGCTGCATGGCACCATATAATATTTTATCCCGCATACCTTTTGGAAAGCCAATCTTCTCATCTGCATCTTTTTTCGTGTGATAGAAATCGGTGCTGAAAAAACGAACCCATTGAAACTTTCTGAATGGAATTAGCTGTTTTTTTTTTTACTTCCGCCGCAGAAAGCCAAAAACTGCGTCCAAAAATCCTGTGATTGTCTTACGCTCTTGCAATATTTCCATTAGCATAGCATCGGTTCTTAAATAGTCTTCCATGTTTACAAATTGTATTCTTAAACGTGGCAGAGTTGGGAAACGTATAAATCTCGCCTGTAATGGCTAAAAAGCATGAAGCAGAATAAGGGCGCAAATTTTGAATATACAAAGTCGATAGAGAATGGGCGCGTAGCGATTTGTGATTATTGTACTTAATTGTAAAATTTTATTTACATTTACAAATTCAGACACATTTCAGTTTTGATTACATTTCAACAATTTTGTGCCCACGGCAGCACTCCCAACGCACATGTGGACCAATCGACGGCTAAAGAATGAAAAATGATTTTAGACAGCTAAAAACTTTGATAAACCAACCCACTTACAATTGTCAATCGTCCAAATACCAAAGTTTGTATCTTCTGCATCACTATCTGCATCCTTATTTTTTTGTATACTAGATATTAACTTTTCCAAGTCATCTACTTCACAATTTTCTCTAGCTGCCTGATCCGAAAGCAGGGATTGATCTTCATCCTCGTGTTTTGTTCGTATTTGGCACAATAATTTCAACTCATCGATCTTATCTTCACCAAATGGAGGTTCGGCTAAATGAAGCAAACTGGTATCCTGCTGTTAGAAATATTTCCGTTTTATATTTTATTTAACTTACCCTTCTACTATGGGTTTCGAGTATTTGTTCAATAGACCTAAACGACTCTTAATAAAGTCACGTTCAAATACCCAAGTCTTTGGTTTTTTCGTGCTGTCGCCGAAAATGATAGTTCGCGACTGATCTACACCAGAATGTATGATAAGTGTGCGCATTGTTTTTGATTGCACTGAAGAGTTAAGCGTTGAGAAATCGGTTGCTTTGAATTTACTGTTCTGAGAATTGAAACAATGATAATAACAATTGTTTAATAACTTAAGTCCCATGCATACCAAATCAAGTTCCTCTTTATACATGCGCTTCATTCGACTCAGCATCGAAAAAGTCTCAGTTAGCTTGTAACCCCAGTAGCTGGCTCCTTGTCGTTTCGATTCCTCTGCATTTGTATTCTCCGTCAATTGGACAAACGCAACAAACACCTTTTCGATTAATCCTTGCTTTGCCAGCATCCGAAAGAAGCCTTGTGTTGCTTCAATCAGCAGCTCCTCGCCCTCATTTTTCCACACGTGAGCAACGAAAAAATACTTCATTTTAAACATACTCGCAATATAAATATCCAGCAGAGCCTTGATAGATTCTCGTTTGACAATAGCCGTCAAATCGTTGACCACTGCAGCGAGTACTTCACGTATTATTTTCAGTTTATTCTGGGAGCAATACACACGCAATTTATTAAACTCTGCGCTTGACTTCATCTTGCTAACGTCTTTGAGTTTCTTGGCTCCACGTAGATGACACTCCAAGGTCAGATCGTACATTGCGAACAGTTCGGTCACTTGAGTCTCAAATTTCATTTTATCCTTTCGTTGCAACTTCTTTGCATCCAAATCCTGCAAGGTGCCGTGATGAGGAGCCCAGTAGTAGCTCTGCAACCACTCCAAGCAATATGCCGCTGTGTTGCGCAGCACATCGATGGGCGGTAGGTCCTGACCGTGAGCGCACAAATGTCTCAAGTCAACAACAAAAGATTCCAGTCCCAGTTGGTGTGCTGTTTTATACATTGTGATCATATTGTAGCCCTGCATAATGGACGACATAAAGTTGTAAAAACGTGTGAAGGCACTGGCGTATATGGTCTGTATATTGGCATTTCCCTGTGTGTCCTGCAGTTGAGCCTCAACCAGGACACTTGTTCCGAGTACGGCTGCCGGGCAAAAACGCCCACGTCGCAAATTCCACACTCGCATATGACTTAAAGCCTTCCGAAGACTTGATGGTGTTGTGGTTTTCGAGAACAAACAGTTGTAGACTGTATTGAATTCCGTTCTAAGTTGAAATATGTTCGTTATTATATGGAATCAAAATGTAAATACAGAAACTCACGTGTCCCGCCATGGGGTCACAATAGTGCGCTTTTTTGTATCAACAGTGGCCTCTACTAACGCTTTCGGAACTTTTTGTTTTTCTAATTTAGCATTTTTCGTTTTTAGCGTGTGATTAGTTTTCACTTTTTTTACCACAGCCATTGTAGTTTGTTGAAATTATTAAGCGGCGTGCTAAGCTCTTTAAATGTACACATTAAAATATCGATATTTCGAAGAAGTCGATTATTATTAATTGTATTCATGGAACGATATCTGTTTGAATGAGTTGTTGCAAGAAGAAGCAGCGTCAACGAGAACAACAACGAAAAAAAGGAGCGGGTCGTAATCACTAAATAACGCGCTTTATCTGTTGTTAAAAACAATCCTCTAGTATGAAATTACATATACATCGCATTAAGAATGTAAGACCGTTTGGAACACATTAAAATACTCTGCCAATTAAAAGATCTTGAATCTTTAAAGAACGCGCCTTTTTTAGCACTGCAGTCCTCCGCTAATTGAAAAAAAGTAGTAAGACACATGCATATCGTCTACACGTACAACGCAGGTATTATTAATCTGGAATACGCCGAGCCGACGTCGACATCACTAATCTTCGGCTCGTTTTCAATGTTTGTGATATTCACATACCTTAAGCTACTTTACATACTCGTGGCAATTTATGTGGCGCTGCATGTGCTCGCCCATTGAAGAAGCAGAATCAGGTGGAAGCGGCAGGGGTAGGGATTAGGGCAGGGGGTTCAGCGATGTATCACTTTGCTTCCGAACAAACACCGGAACTGCGACTCTCGGGCAAAGTGCTCGTCACCAGCCAGACAACGCAATATCTAAAGAGTTTTCAAATCGAAGCCGTGCGTTTTCTCTACCAACAGCTGTCCAAACAAGAATTCTGTATATTGAATGATGAGAGCGGTTTGGGCAAAAGTGCGGCTGTTGTAGCGCTATTGAATGCTCTTGGTGCAAGCAAAAAGACCTTAATAGTTCTGCAAAATGATGATCAAATGCTTGTCGGCTGGCAATTTCATTTTGGCGTACTAACGGATTTGCCCGTTTGTGTAATACAAAATATTAATGGTAATGTAGGATATTAAATATGTATATAATCGAAATTAAATGTTTCCCCTTTCCAGATAGCACAGAGTCGGCGCACAGCGTTTATTTGGCTAAATGGAGTGTTTTACGAAGCATTGGAGATCTCAGTAAACTGCGTTTTGACTTTGTAATTGTCGATAATCGTGGTTATACGTTAAATAACAATTTTTGCACTTCCATGCTGCTAAAGCAATTCGAGCGCAAAGTAAACATTGTAATATCTAGTGTGGATATCACAGTAAGTCGAATATAACTTATTGCTAAAATATCTAATTTGATGGGTATTTTCCAGTCGGATGTAAAGCTTTTGTATAATGTTTTGCGAATGGGAGGACGATTGGGTTATCAATTCAAAAGTTTTAGAAGTTTTGAGAACAAATACAGCCTACCCGATGCCAAAGAGGTATTCAACAAACGTCTAGATTTGGAGGAGTACTACAAACAGCGTGGCAAGCTGGGCGATTTCGTTAAGTGCGTATATGTAATGCTAGTCAGAAAGAGAAATAATTTGCGGTATTTCTTGTAAAATTTAAGAAATACATGAGCAAATTTTTGTTCTATCTGCTCCTTACCTTACATTTTCCTACAACTTTTCATTTAATTATTTATAGGGAGTTTCGTCTGCGTCGCTATCGGCATCAATTTGATCAGTATCTGCCTCTAGTCACACCGGAACAATATAAGACAAACCTGACACTCTGGTTAGCGAACAACAACAGCGATTCTACGCTTAGCGGCTCAACGGTCGCTTCTACAATAGATGCACGCTCCACAGCTGGCACAGAAGAGATAATTGAGTGTCTGATGAAGATCAAAAGAGAACGGGAAATGGCGCAGCGAGATGAGCCAGAGAAATTTTCAGAGCATAGCGATGAAGTAGTGGCCATGTCCCCGCTAATCTTTGAAATGTCCGATGCGGAAATAGAGGAAGATGTAGAAGAACAGCCCCTGGTAGTGGCAATAGAACCAGCAACTACTTGTGCGGATGTGGTGATGATTTCTAGCGATGATTGTGAGATAGTAACGCCGCCAAAGACACCTTCGCCGGTCTTTACTACCGATAGAGCACAGAAAGACAAACGAAAATTTACTAAATTATCACAGGCTGTGGAGCAGGAACATCTTACGGATTCGGAGGTGGAAATTGTAACTCCTGAACGTAAAAAACAGGGAGTTAAAAATACACCAAAAGGTGGCAAAAATAAAAAAATAAACGGAAAGCAAAGCAGTGTTGCTCTGGAGCGAACAAATGTTGTCCAGCCACAGACAGGAAACGGTAAAATAGTCCGCAGGACTCGCTCTGCGAATAGCACGCCTGTAAACAACAGCAAGACTAAAAAATTAGAAAATAAACATTTCGAATTGGCGAAGGAAACGCCTATGCGTCGAACACGCTCAGCTGGTAACACGCCCTCGAGTAGCAACAGGACAAAAAAAGTTAATGTTTTACTTCAGCGGATTGAATTGGAGACGACCCAAAAGATCCAATCAACTCCATCCCAAAAAAAAGCAAAAGGCGTGATCAGTACACCGAAAAGCGAATCTACAAAGCCTGCAAAGCGCTTGCTCCGTGAAGTCAATATTGCGCCCAAAGGCGTACACAACCGTGAAACACGAGGTATGCAGCGTTTAACGCGCTCCGCCGATTCACGTATACGCAACAAATACATGACCATAACAGTGGCTCTCGATATAGATAAGAAACCCACGCCGCGAAAGCCAAAAACGGTTGCTGGTCAAACGCCCAAGACAAGCAGAAATCAGACGAAAAATACGCCAGAGAAATTGGAAAATCAGACACCGAAAAGATCTAAACGAAAAAGTAAAACCCTGCAGCAGGATGAAAAAGTTACAACTACGCCCAAAACGAAATCTAATGCCAAGCCAAGAATGCAAAAGCAACAGAAAGACACACGCAGTCCACTTTTAGGACCAAAACCAAAAGCAAAAACCACAGCACCTCTTCCCCCTGCAGCACCATCCATACAACCCACGCCGCAGTTGATCAGCTCAGGGTCAACCAATTCGAACTGCTCGTTCACGCAATGCGCTCAAAAGCTGCCCGATAACCTATCCCAACTGGATGCCCTTGAGCCACCTGCATTTCGCATGCCGTTTGCGCCCATATCAACGTCACTGCTGTTGCCCTATAGTTTGAATCTGTTTAGCGATTCAGAAGTGGGCATTGTGCCCGCTTCGAATCAACAAACTGATATTGTTGTGATATCTAGCTCGTATGATGAGAGCTCTGGACAGTCCTCAGCACAGAGTAGACGGACCCGCGCCTTAAAACGCAAACGCCAGCAGAGGACGCCTGTCATGTCTCCACACGATCTCGAGCGGCCCAGCACATCAAGCTTTGGTTTAATGTTGGCACAGCAACGGACACAGAATAAATCGCCGGATCTTTTTAGCAACTGCTCCGGTGTTTCACAGTTGCCGCTCACACAACCAGCCCCGGCAAGTACGGCTACTGGAACGGCCACCGGCGCATTTGAAGGCTTCAAGATATTTGGGTCCGAGGTGAAGCATCTGCAGCAGCAACATGCGAAGACGCAGGCGAATAATAGCACGAAAAAGAAACGCGATCGCTCCTGTCTGGACATTCTGGAGCAAATGTTCGAGCCACGCCATAAAAAGGATGCCGCAAGCTCCAACAATGTGCTGCCCACATATCCGCCAGCGATGCACGCGCCACCAACTGCTCAACGGCGACGCTCCGTGATCGAGGATGATATCTTTGAGATCACAAATAATGGCGAATTCGGCAGTCGTTTGCGTTTGAATTCTACAGGCGATGTCTCACCCGTTCAACAGCAACAGCAACATAAAGAGTTGGGCCCAACACAGCACAAAATTACCAACTATTTAATTGGCTCCAGTGCTGGCCAGGAAGACGAACCACAGCAACAGCAGCAGTTGGGGCCAAACAGTCGCACCTCCACGCAAACACTACGAAAATCGCCAAAAGGCATCAAGTCCACACAGTCCACAAAGTTAACACGCTGGTTCGGAACAGCTTCTTCTGCGGCAGCCTCACCCACCTGCTCTGGAGAATCTTTGAGTGCGCCCAGCACTCCGGTCATGTCGACAACGAGCGCGGCTACCCAATCAGCGCGTATTGTGCGCAGAAGCGGACCGACAAAGCGAAAGCGACTCGATCTGTTCAAGTGAGAGGATGAATGAGAATAGAAAACGTACACTTCAATGATCTTTCGAAAAGACTCTGAGACAACAGACTACAGTATGCTGCGAGCCATTTAAGAAATGTCTTTGATACAATTTTGCTGTGCCTTACAAGAAACGTAATTAGGAAAAGAAGCTGAAAATATTCGTTTCATTACAGTTTCTAAAGAAGTTATAAGTTTTTAATAATTAAATTTAGTTATAAAATCTTTAAGTTTTAAAAGTGTCTCATAAATGTTCGTTCCCTATATCCAACATTCTCAAAATGTAAACTAAAGCAAGTTTTATTTCCTATCTTATTTTATTTCCATTCTACAAAATTAGTCAGCTACTTGTTGCAGCATTACGATTTCTTGTAGGGCACGCAGTTTTTTTTTTAAAAGACTCTAAAAGAATTTGCCAATTTGCAATTAAAGCACCCAACTCTACGGCCACAAGGAAAGAGGAATTATTACATAAAAAAATGTATATGCCAATCAATTATATTTAACATTGTTTTTTATACACTTATGTATGTTCATTACACGTATACACACATAAAGACTTCATTTTTTATTTGGAAACATACATATTTGTTATTAAATTCACATTGGAAATATTTAGCACATAATTTTTATTAGCCAATTTAGTTAATTCTTAAATTTGTAAATGAAGGCTACGAGTATATTTTTTGTTCATGAAACGGGCAATAAACTGAAATTGAATCAAAATTAAATTCAAACACCCTCTTGTCCTTTCACTGGGCCGTCGGTTTGCTAAATATGTGCGTCAGATTGTGCATTACAGCACGTCTCTGGAACTCAAGCTCCCGTCGACATACAGATCCCAGTAACGGCGGACATTGATATTTGATCTTCTCGTTGGCGTACGTATTGCTGCCGTCCGGCTTGAAAAAGAATTCGCTAATGGCATGCACTGAAAAAATATGCACAATTAAATACATATGTACTACATATGTGAGGAGTCGATAAATCGTCCAATACGGGACAGAAAGAGCGGACCTTGCATTTTGAATGGACGAAGATTGCGATGGGGTCTGCTAACTAGCAGAGACGGTGAAGACTCTAAAATGTTGTTCAAATCTAAACTCTCTGGTACCGACCACTATTTTCTATCGTCAATAATTAGGCTTAACTTCAATGTTTGAAATATTTGTAATAGGTATATTTCAATTTTTAAGTAACACTTTAAATATTTTCTTCATTGCTCAATGTTTAGTCTCACAAGATTAACAAAAAGAAGCGCGCGAAAAATAAGTATTCTGCTACGATCAGCAATAAATAAAGAATTGTTGAATTGCTGATCACACCGTAATAAGTTTTGTAGCGACCTATCTACATGGAATAATGAAAATTAATACTCACAGCAATATATGCCTTTAAAGAAGCACGACTCGTGCTTGGATGAAATTGAAAAGAATACGGGATTAGCGTCTGGCAAGGACTTTGTCACCACATATTTAGCCGTTATCGTATTCAACCAGTAGGGCCAATGGGATAGGCGTTCGTTGTATTCCACTGTGTAGCGCCAATCGTGCGCATGTCCATGATCGGAAAGTATCTTGAAATTAATGCTACGGGAAGCCGTAAGCTGAGCAGCTTAATAAATGCATTAAATAGCAGTATTCGATTGAATGACTTACATTGTTGGATTCAGTACACGCATTTTATTAAAATCGGCAACATATTCCCAGACCTTTTCCGGCCTCGAGTTCCTGATAAGACCATCTATTTCATAGTTACGATAGCCGCTGGACAAAACAAAGACGTAGAGTATAAGGGCAGCGCAGAGCACAATCGAGCACTTTTTGATATTCCAGCGACGTCTGTTTTGCATGGTGGATATATGTATTTGTATATAGCTGTGTGTGTGTGTGCGTAACTATTTGGAATTTCAAATAAACAAACAAGCGGGTGAGGATGTTAATGGACTGCCGAACAGATCGGAGAGACGGGCCGAGAAACAAAGGGAAAACAACTCTCCAGCAGCCGCAGAACGGACCAAACAGCAGCGAGGCAGATGAAAGACTGATGCAAGAGTGGGAAAAACTAAACTGTAGTTCAGCATAAGAGTGCCGTCCCTAACCGCATGGATAGGAACAGTGACGTGGCACGAAGGGGTTCCATTCCTACTTAAAATTATATGAGATTGAGATTTATAGTGTTTTACTTATTTTTAAGCAATCGAGTGTTAGACTTCCACAAAGCTTGTTTTTGAAGATGTTCTTAACAATTAGTACAAGTATGTACACCGGATCATAAAAATGCACATGGGCGAATCAATCGAATAAAGTCTTGCAGTCCAGTAGCTCTAAATGAAATTTCTCTGATTCAAATTGTTAATTACTAAACATCTATACGATGTCAGATATTGCACAAATATACTTCGATTGAAAATTTAAGAGGGTCAATTCTGTACACACTATCTAAGTCAGAAAATTAAAAAAAAAGATGAACTCGTTACATACTATGTGAAAATATTGAATTCACTGAAAGAATTTAAAGCAAATTATTCAACAGATGTCCGGTGTTTAATTTTAAGCACCTTAACACAAAGCATCAATTGCTATACTTAATAAAAATATTGTGTATATTATTTTAAAATCATTTTTTTAAGAACATTTGTAGATTTGGATAATGCTGGCATCAAATGATGAGAAAATTGCAAAACATATCTATAAAATCTATATATGTAATATAAATCCACCAGGCGGCTAAAAAAATATATATTATTTGTTCAGAATTTGTGTTAAACTATGCTATATTATTTAATAATTGTCCTCCTTAGGGCAGATCTTAAATATAGAATAAAGATAAAAAAAAAAACAATTATAGGGTATTATAACCAAAAAAAAAAAACAAAGCGTAGCTGTTGGTGTATTTTAATATACCCAAAACGCTTTTTCACTGATTGAGAAAATATGTAAAAAAAAACAAATATTCAAAAACCATTTCAAGTTTGGGTTCACAATATATTTGAATGTCTGACCGCATCCTAAAATTAACTTAACCAATAACAGGCATACATATGTGTGCATTCGGGCTTTATTGTTCAAATTGTAGCATTTCTTCGGGTAGGAGAATGCTCGGGGAAGCTTTTACGAAAGCAAAAGCTTCAGACCACATGCTGTCTAAATTTCAGTTTATAAACATCAGCCGGCTGTGTTGGTTGTTGGGTAACGGTTGAAGACAGTAAGAGGTGTTGGGGCTTTACAAGAAGCAATTGTACTATAGGTAAGCGATTTGTTGCGACTTCTCGAAGCTTATCAATTAATTTACTTCAAGTGTAATGTACATGTGAACCTCCAGCGGATTTCAGGTTAGGTAACCCCACAAGTCAGTGGCCCTTAGATTTGCTCCCAATCTACACAAATCACAACATCGCCATCTCAATGAGGCTGCTGGTGAAACAAACAAATCTGCTGTTGTCCAAATGCTCGGCGGCACTACGTCAACAGTTGTCCGCGGCGAAGTCAACCGGTTCGGTCACAAAATTTGCTCCAACAGGTGTACAATTAGAAATTGAAAATGGCAACAAACTGCTGGGGGCTGTACCAGCAAAGGTAATTTGTATGATTAAAGCTAATTCGTGCGAGATACATAAATAAATAAAATTCTAACTTTTATTTATAGTCACCAGCAATTGAGGCATTGCATGACAATGATAGTGTGAGCCGAACCCATCAGTCCAGTCCGCTAACGGACACTTTCGGACGCCATCACACATACCTACGCATATCGCTAACTGAGCGCTGCAATTTGCGTTGTAAGTGGTTGTTGTACAATATCAAGTTAATTAAAAGATATACATACATACATACAGTTCCCTGATACAAATTCTGAGACAGACCGATGATGTATTTCATTTCTATGTTACCGGCATGTTACCATACTTGAATTGATAATAATTCAGAGTTCACAGACAACCTCTATATACACTATGAAAAAGTCGAAAAATATATCCTTCAACTTGGTCAGTACTCGTCTATTAAGTTTGGTTAGTCTAGCTGTTGTACTTTCCAATTAATGGGGGTCATACACATAGAAGAACAAACAACCAGTCGAACGACTGTTTATGTATATGACCGAATATACTGAGTCGTAGCTTTAAAATTATGCTGAAGAGTATACAATATGCGTGGACTGACATGCCTTTTTTATTGGCTCTTACATGAAATGGAACATTTTTTATTGATAATACCTTCTAAGTCTATAATATGCTATGTATTCATATCATTTCACTTTGTGACGAAATACCCACGCTATCTTTTTTTTCAGGTGAGTACTGTATGCCCGCAGAGGGCGTCACCCTGCAACCCAAATCCCAGCTACTGACCACCGATGAAGTTCTGCACTTGGCGCGAATATTTGTAGAGCAGGGTGTGCGAAAGATTCGTCTGACCGGTGGTGAGCCAACAGTGCGTCGGGATATTGTCGACATTGTGGCACGGATAAAGGAGTTGCCCCAACTGGAACATGTGGGGATTACGACCAATGGATTGGTGCTCACGCGCTTGTTGCTGCCTTTACAGCGAGCTGGTCTAGATTCGCTGAACATCAGTCTGGATACGTTGAAGGTGGACCGCTTTGAGAAAATAACGCGTCGAAAAGGCTGGTCGAGAGTCATTGCCGGCATTGATTTGGCCATACAGCTGGGGTACCGGCCAAAGGTCAACTGTGTGCTTATGCGGAATTTCAATGAGGATGAGATTGTTGATTTTGTAGAGCTAACACGGGAGCGTCCCGTCGATGTACGCTTCATTGAATACATGCCCTTTACGGGCAACAAATGGCAGACAGAACGCTTAATTTCGTATCAAGAAACGTTGCAAATTATAAGGGCCCGTTGGCCCGAGTTCCAGGCATTGGACAATGGACCCAACGACACGTCCAAAGCATATGCCGTGCCTGGCTATGCCGGCCAGGTGGGCTTCATCACTTCGATGACAGAACACTTTTGTGGAACGTGCAATCGCTTGCGCCTGACAGCCGATGGCAATATTAAGGTATGTCTGTTTGGGAACAAAGAATTCTCTTTGCGCGATGCGCTGCGCGGTAACTGCACGGAGCAGGAGTTGGTTGAGCTAATTGGGGCTGCTGTGCGTCGCAAGAAACAAAAGCATGCAGGTGAGTTGATTTATTTGTATTTGGATTCGAGCCGAATCGTATTTATGGGCGCATCTTTCCCTAAAACGCAGGCATGCTGAATCTGTCGCAAATGGAAAATCGCCCAATGATACTCATAGGCGGATAGCACACAACATTTCCAACTGTTTGCTTTCAGATACCCATCAAATGCATCTTCCACATATCCATTTACCATTGCCACTGCATCTTCTCCAAGCTCGCCTGCCCGCCCTGCAGCTGCGGCACTGCAGTAGTCTGACTCATGTGAATGCCGAGGGTAAGGCACAGATGGTGGATGTGTCAGAGAAGTCTAACACCACACGCACAGCAAGCGCTGAGGCCATAGTGCTCGTTGGAGCTCAACTAACAGCGCTGATAGCCGCCAATGAGCTGGCAAAGGGTGATGTCCTTAGTGTGGCACAGATTGCTGGAATTTTGGGCGCAAAACGCACCTCCGAGCTAATCCCATTATGCCACAACATTAGCCTCTCCTCAGTCAAAGTACAAGCCACACTGTTGGCGCAGCAACAGAGCGTTCACCTGCAAGCCACTGTACGTTGCAGCGGCCAGACTGGAGTCGAGATGGAAGCACTCACCGCCGTGTCCGTTGCCGCGTTGACGGTCTATGACATGTGCAAAGCAGTATCCCATAATATATGCATCACAAATGTACGCCTGCTGAGCAAGTCGGGTGGCAAGCGTGATTACAACCGCGAGAATCATCAATAAATTTCACATTTCGCTCTCGTTGTTTTTGTTTTTTTAAATGTGTGTTTTTGTTTTAATTGCAAACGTTACTTTCGTTATGACAATGAGTTTGTTACGTGTGTGTTTTTGTTTGGGTGTGAATTCCGCCTTAAAGCTAAAATTACAAAGTATAACATTAGAATTTTTCATTGCAATAATGCATTATTGTTTTGGGTGCAGCTGTCGCTGCAGCCGGAAAATGTAAAATACGTTTCGTTCATTCCTTGCTTTGGATTAAAGCAAAACACATCAAGGCTTCTGACACACTATTTCTTCAATTGTAGATCGAACTCCTTGATTTGCCTTGATTTGTGTCTGCCAGTCTGGCCAGTTAGTTGGACACCAGCACATTTCGATTTTCAGCCTTGCTGCCACTGTCGGCTTCGGCAGATTTTTGTGGCTCTGCGCTGAGATGTTCGCCGCGGATCTTAATGTTGTGCTCCTCCTTGAATTTGTTAATCTCTTGACCCTTTTTGCTTAAATCGTCGTTGACTAGACGAATTTTCTTCTCTATGAAGTCCTTGTTCTCCACCAGCTGAGGTAAGACTTCCTTTACGGTACGCTCGCAGAGCACGCCGCCAATGAGACGAAAGCATTTGCGATCCTGATCGACCGATTTCAGCGTTTCTATCACAGTCCTAATCGGTGAAATATATTTATATATATATTAGACACATTTAGTGTTTACACCATTTGAGGTTATGTCTGTGACTCACTTGTGTTCACGCAAATCCATTTCCAGTGTGTTTAGACTGTTGGCTAGGTTTCTTTGATCATTGCGCAGCTGTTGAAACTGGGCAACAACCTTTTCCTGACCTTTAGCGGCCTGTGCGGAATCGCTGCTCATGATTTTTAGTTAAACTTAAACAGATGGGGATGGATACGAATTTCGGTTCTCACATTTATGTTTAGAGATGTACATTTTACACAAGACAAGAACGATTACAGTCGACAGCTGTGAGCACGAACACATACATATGTAGTAGCTGTTGACATTCACTTCGCAGCACTGGTTGCTGTCAGTGCCAACAACGGCTTTTTATTATTACTTTGGAAGTACATCGGTTTTGATTTCTGGGAAAAAAAGTTTAAAATATTTTGACGAAATAACAAAAACTTCTGAACGTCGCGCATCGATATGGCCAGGAAACCAGAAATGCTGCTGCTGCAGCCTGCCGACGAACTGGTGTTCAAAGGACCATTTAACCGCTCAGTTTGCCAAAATATATTGTTGACCAATCCCAACAAGCAGGTGTGGGTATCCTTCAAGATGAAGACAACTTCTCCACGTTTGTTCTACGTGCGCCCAAACATAGGAATCATTGGACCTGGAAAGTCGCTAAATATTGAAATATATATGCAGCCGATGGTCCAGTCAGAGGTAAAGCAGAAGCGTCACAAATTCCTGATTCAGGCTGCATTGGCAACCGAGAACATTGAGTTGCAAGAATTCTGGAAGGCACTTAAGCCGGAGCAGATCTGGGACACGAGGGTGAAGTGCGAGCTTCTGTCGAGCAAGAATAATAACGACAAGGAAGATGATTCGGAAACCTTGCGAGAAGCCGGGGGTCTAGACACAAAAATTAGCAGTCGTGAGGATAGCGACTGCGAAGCAAAGGACGCAGAGCCGGCCAAAGTCGACAAACTAAAGCAAAAGATCAGCGTTCTTGAAGAAGAGCGCCTCTACATGAAACAGGAGCTCAAGACACTTCGCAAGGCCAAGGATGAGCCGAACACGTCTGCTGTTGGAGGTGCCATGGTTCAATTGAAGCGACGCAAGTTGTTTTATTGGATAGCTACCATTCTATCCATGATATGTGCCATTGTTGGCTTCATATTGGGCAAGCATTATTATATGTAGGGTAAACCTAGACATGGAAACAAGGCGAGATTATATTAAATACAGCGCAGCGAAATTTTTTGTCAAATAAATGAATGAACTTATTATTAACGTCACAGCCAAAGAAATTTGGTTTTATTTAAACGTGTACTTGGTATTTTGATGGCGTACAAAAGCTCAGTGGTCTGAAACTGCAGGAGTGCAGTAGACCGCGGCGGGTGGCAACGCCGCATTGGTTGCATAGCAACGAGTGGCTTGGGTTTGCGTTTTGTTTATAAGCCATGTTTAGTTAAAAACTGCATAATATCAACAATGCCTCTGTAATGAGTGATACTGACACCGACGATACGGATCTTTTGTTGCTGATACCGCCCAACTTCTACGTCGATACAGCAGAGCGCTTGTTCTTGCAGGCCAAAATGAGCGCAGCTGCAGATGCCCTTGCCATGCCTCCACCTCCCGCGCCAACGACAAATGCCTATCAATTTCTACCGCCTCACAAGAAAACCGAACTGAATCACATTAACTCCCGATTGCAAAACTTGGAGCTCGTCGATAACCAATTAGAAGCACTCTCGGATATTTCCACCATTTCCAACAATACTGTGCGCACCATTGATGGCAGCAATAAAAGAACACGTGAGATGCAAAAATTGGTCCATTCGACACCAAAGAGTGGTTCGGTAGAGCCACCGTCTAATGTACCATGCAGAAGCGATGCCGGTGGCGCGATTGTAGACAATATATTGCTCGAAATCGACAACTATCTGGACGACCAGAATCCGTACAATTTACCTTCCTGGCAGCATCACAGCGACAACTATTTGCGTGAGAGAACGCCTTCGGCCTTCTCTGGGGTAGGCAGGCAGGAGCCACTGGCTACCTCATTGCCCAGTGAACTGAACTCGCAGCGTGAAGCGGAACCCATGCGAAGTGCATATGTCAGTTCTGGTGAAAGGAATCTAATAAGTCTTAGCGAGCTTTGGGGTAGAAGCAATCTGGCAGGCACTGTTTTGCCAAATAGTACAGTGTCCGCGCAACAAAGCAATACCTTAAAGGAGGAGCAGCTGCGCCGCCAGCATTTGGAGAAGACTGTACAGGCATTACAGTCCCAGTTGCTGGAATACGAGCAACGAATTTCGGTGGCCATTGAAGTGGATCGCTCAAAGGATACGGCTTTGGCCAGCGCCGAACAGGCCAACAAGAGTCTTAATCTGGAAGTACAACAGCTGCGCGATGCGTTGCATCGACTGGAAATGGAGCGCAATGAGTACAATGGTAAAATGGATGGACTTCAGCATGAGCTGGCGCAGGCAGTCGGCTTGGCAACCAAGTTCCAGGAGAAAATCGAAAGGTTGGAATCGGAGCTACAGAAACAGGTGCGACAGGCAAGCGAATCATCGCGGCAAGTGGAAGAGCTGGAGATTCAGCTGCATGGCACTAAGCGCGCCGAAGAAATGGCACATGCTGAGCTCACGAAAGTGCGTGATAAATTTGCCAAAGTGGATTATCAGCAGGGAAAGGTAAATATACAACTATAATTAAAAAATAATGAAATAAGTACGTATATTATTATATTGCCCAGCTAAAAGCGCATATAGAGGAACTGGAGAAGGAGAACACTACATTAAGGCATCAAAAGGAAATGCTGCAAGAATATCATCAGAAACAAAAAACGCGTGCGGATGCACTTGAAACGCAACGTAAATCATTGCAGGAAACACTGGCCAACCTTACAGAGATTGAGGTGAGCTAACAGAGATTTGGATGATTTGGGAGTTTTATTTAATCAAAAAAATCGGATTAAACGTCAATTTGGTTGAAATTGGTTTTGGTCTGGGATTTCATAAGTAGCTAATTTACAAAATTCTCCACAGACTAATTTAAAAAAGAAATTGGAGACGCAACAGAAAACGTTGAAACTTCACTACCAGCAGCAATTGGAAAACGTTGTCGCACACAAACTGAAGGACTTTCAAGAGCAGCTGGACAAATCCGCGGATCAGCTAAAAACAGAAGCACGCGAGCGTGAACGTTTGATAGCGGACCGTGCGGTCAAGCAGTTGGAAATGATAAACGAAAAGAATAATTTGGAATTAAATCTCGTACAGGAAAAACACAACAAGGAAGTCGAACTCTATCGTCTGCAGCTGGCTAATGCATCTAAGAGTATAGAAGAATTGGAACTTAAGCTGTCCAGCTACAAGACAAAACGGTATGTTTTGCATAAGCTATGTTCTAAATTATAGATATACTTATAATCGTTTTACCATTTTAGTGCCGACATTGCGGAGAAGCTGCACGGCGTCATGGAGGCGCAATGGCAACAAGCACTCGCCATACTCACCTCACCCAATCACACAGGTCAGGTAATGACGAGCGATACGGAGAGCGAATCGCCAGAGCTAAACACTGCGCGCCATTATGCCGACACACCAAAGACGAGCAAAAGTCAGCGCAGCAACTCGACCGAGAAAAACAATTTGGATGTGGTGGGCAAGCGCGATCCAGCATCACCCATGGACAAGCTACAAGCCTATATCGAACTATTACTGAGCAAATCCCCCAGTGACTTCGACAGGCTGGACGAGATACTTGCGCTGGGTGCGAAATCCTTCAGCAAGACGGAAAAAGATAGGCTCAGCAAACGTCAGTCTAAGCCACCCTGGAAGTCCTGATGTTATGTCAGCAGAATCAACCAAATCGACCAAATTATACGTTATAGTCATGCTTTTAGATTAAGTACTTTTCGATCAATTTATCTGCTAAAATTTAATAGTAATTATTTGTATGTGTATGCATTTATACACACATTTGTAAAATTAAATGGTTTATTATTGAAAAACTTGGCATTTGTGTATGAATGAAATTATTTTGAAAAGCGCGTTCCTGGGGATCAATTTCTTTCCAAACAAATAAGTTAAAATTTGTCTTTAACTTTGAATAAAGAAATAATTTTATATAGGTATTACTGTAACCAAAAGTTAGAATATTTGAAAACAGATAGGTACCTTTCGCGCAATTTATCTGTTGAAATTTAATTATTTGTATGTGTACGCATTTATACACCAATTTTTAAAAACAAATTATAAAATTAAATGGTTTATTTGGCATTTGTGTATGAATTAAATCATTTTGAAAAGCGCGGGGATAATTTTCTTTCCAACCAAAATAGGTCAGAATTTGTCTTTAAGTTTAACTAAATAAATAATTGTAAGGGGTATTACGATAGTAAGCATAATTTAGTATATTTGAAAACAGACTGACTCTCAAAATTCTGCAAATAATATTTTAATCAAACCTTTTCTGAACATTTTGAAATAAAGCGGTTTTTCACATCTTGTGCCTTGGAATATAATAGGCACAAATTCTACATTTGTGCCTTTATAATCATATTTTAAGGACCAAAATATTGTACAGAGTAAAGTCGCTTTAGGTATATTGGTGATTAAGCAAGTGGATTTCCCGGGTTTCCCGACTTTGAAATACTCTGTTTTATAGAAATTAAAAAAAATTGATATATTTTACCTCCTTTAGTATTCGAATTCACATAAAGAGTGTATAAATGCATACTGACATATAAATTGCGTCTATGCGTGTTTATGCATGTTTGTGTATGTCAAAGCAGCAACGAAAACAACAGCCGCTACCAGTGGTTGGGCAGTGATTATATATGTATATAGCTATAACTTCATGTTAAGTCGGTCAATCATAATGAAACTCAGCATACGGACTTATAATCACTAACTGGAGGTTATTGCCGAACATAAAGTTCCAAGAAATGCGGGAGTTATGGAAAATCTCTAATTGCGCTGGAGAGGGAGGGAAATGCCAAAATTGATTTTCTGCATAAGGCATCTTGGACTAAACATCTCATAGTGTCCGAGATAGAGGTGAAAAAAATAAAAGAAAAATTTGGTGTCTCTAGCTCTTAGAGTCTCTGAAACCCAGGTGTTCATACGGATGGACGGACAGACAGACATAGATCGACTCGTCTCGTCATGCTGATCAAGAATATATGTATGTATGCATATACTTTGCCTGTTACATACATTCGCTCAAAACTCTATTAGCCTTTTACCTTTTGGGTACATGCTATACAAATGTTTTCTACCGTGAAAAAATACCTAATACTATCCCGGCAAGAAGTTCTTTTATATTTAACTAGCTAGCATTGCTCATCTTTCTGTAGTACGTATATTTTGTAAATCACACACACTTAAAACTTGAAAAAAAAAACATGAAGAAATGTTAAAACAACGATAACTCAGGCCAAAAGTTAGCGTCGTCTTTTTTCTGAGAGTATACAAACTAAGTTTAAAGTCGATCGGCTGAAAATTGCACATTTTTCACATAAACTTTGAAGACTCTTTCCCCCTTTTGGAGCTCGAAGTTTCAAAAACCACTTCTTGTCGCAAACCCACACTCTTACAGGATACTTGTGTCCAAATTTCCGCCCATTAATCAGGGCAAACCGTTTTATATCCTAAAAAGTGTCATTTGACATTTTAAATAGTTTTATATATTTTCAGTGCTTTTGTTTAAAACATTTAATAGAAAAGTTGTGAAATTACATTTGGCAAACGAAAACTTTTTTCCATATTGATATAATTAACAATTCAAGGCAGCACAGGTATTGATGCAATAACCATTCGGGCTCTAAACTAAAACAGAATTTGTCCGTTACAAATATTTGAAGTTCCAGCACTATTTACTTAAAGCTAATAACTTAACAATACCGATCTATTTTATTCATTCAATATGTTTGATTCAGCAGCCCAGAAACATTATGTGTCTGTCATTGATATGCTAGCGTTAAGAGTATAAATGTTTGTTGTTCACTATGCTGTTACTTATACACGATTTGCGGAAATTTTGGGGCATTTCCATATAGTCCTTCCGATTCCCAAACCTGTATGTGAGAATCGCGTGTGAGCACCACCAAGTGCTGATGTGTAGAGTATGTGATGCTGTAAAATAAATAAATAATTCCTTTAATATTGCTTAATAATTGGAGGTCATAACTCACCTTTTGATAGGTGCGATGCCCGTGACAAGTTCACCCACAAAGCTTAGATCCCAGCTGGACCAGAAGCGTACAAATCCGCCCTCCACGGCTGTGGCAATCACATTCACTCCCACGCCCTCCTTGATATATGAATAGCAAACGGCCTGTATGCGATCCTCATGCACCAAATGCTGTACATAATGGGCATTGACGGAGTGCAAGCGTAGGATGGATTTACCGTTGGGATTGACGTTGACATTCACGAAATCATCGAGACTCTCTTCGGTCACTTCGAAGCATTCATCGGCCGCCATCCTGGGCGGAGACTGCGCTGCCGCATCAACGGTATCTGCGCTTTGGTGCGGCAATGTGTGCACGGTGACAATATCGCCCAAGGTAGGACTGATGGCAATGTGTGTGATCGGCGACTGATGGATTTCGGCAGGTCGCGCTATTGTGCGAACATAACTCCAGCTGTAAGACAGATGATATTTCAGACTTAGAAATAAGTTAAACTTAAAAGTTGCGTCCGACTCTTGTACACTCTGTACCCAGCACTCTCTCCATCGCAGTCGCTCAAATAAAATAAAGTTGGTTGCGCATATGGTTCTTTAAGTTTTCGGGTACAGGTATAAAGAAATAGCGGACTTCTTAAAATTCCTTACTCATTGAGATCCCAAATGACGGCAATACCATCGCGGCCAGCAGTCACGGCAATTTTAAATTCCACAGAGAGCGTAATGCAAGTGATCTCATCCGAATGTCTCACCAACACAGTGGGTCCAACCCAGCTCAGATCGGCGCCATCACGTTGCAGGGCATCGCTGTTGCTCAAAGTACTTCCCACAGATGAAACGCAAGATGCTGACATGCCAATGCCAGCACCAGCAGCACCACCACCCACACTAGTGTCATGATCCAGTTCCGTTTCGACCTTTCCCACACTTTTCGTAGTCATTTTACGAAAGGCGGAGTTGTAAGATAGGCGAAGGCGTACATAACTCTGACGGCTCTTGGTGCCGTTGCCTCGCTGTTGCGCTTCCACACCACTCGAACATTTGTAAACGCTGATGCGTCCGGACTTATGTCCCAGCCATAACTGATTGCAGTTAACATCGCAGCCACAGGCGGTGATGTCATCAAAGTTGCCATTGTGGAGCAGGTTTTTGGGCTTCGCCTGAGGCTTGTTTAAAGGCTGAATACGCACTAGACGGTCGTCGTAGCCCCAGGATACCACATTGTATGTATCTGGCTCGGCACCTTGCATGACGAAGGCACGAGCAGGCAATGCATACACAACATTCGTATTGCTGAAGCTAACTAGGCGTTCGGTGCCAGGTATTTTGCGAATGTCGGCCAGTGAGGGTTGTGCCTTAAGCTGTGGTGAACCAACATAGACACCCCAACGAAGTCCTTTCACAGTCGACACAATGGGCTTGTCCACTAACGAGTAGTCCATTGCCTTAGTTGCTGAATGCGGCGATTTAAAGAGTTGGCGTGGCATTTGACCATACGTCTTCACCATGGTATGCACAGCATCACGTTCAATGGGATCACTGATTTCGGACTCCAGAAAGACGGCATAGGTCTGCATTTTATAAAAAAGCATTAGAACTGAATAGCGCTAGGTTACGATTTGTTACTTACTGCTGGATGGAATACATTGATGGCTTCTACGGCACTCTCACCAGTTTGCTTGTAACCAAAAATCAAATCAATCCAATGGTGGAGATTATTGCGCACCAGTTCCGATTCCAACGCTTGACGATGTATGAGCACAAAAAGTCGAGGATCTTTTTGACACCAATTTGGGAGCAGAACATCCTCGACGCGTTCACCATTTTGTCGCAAGCCGAAGTTAAAACGTTCAAAATTTTCAAACATCTCGGGCAGGCAAAAGAATTCTGGTATGAGCTCCTTAACGTCTGTGGGGCTGTCCCGGCTAGCCAGGCACCAGGTAGTGCTCAGTGCGTGAAATGTGCGATCTGGCAAATCAAAATTGTTGTCTAAAAAAGAAGGGGAAGATATGTGAAATTTCTCTTTGAACAATCTGGAATGAAAAATCGTTACCTTGGTATCGCAGAAAGTAGGTGGTGAAGGGCGGTACACGCACCAGAAAATGTAAAACCGTGCCAGAGTTCGAATAATGAGAGCTATAGTGGTATGGCTTCAGTATTAAAGATCCCATATTTGTATTGGTGTTGTTGATATACTGCATAAAAGTAGTAAGAGGGAATTATTGCAGATAATACAATATTACACATATAAAGGTACATTGTTAACTTACGGTATAGTTGTTAATGTAGTGCTGCTCGTTCTCCTCCAACTGCACTGCAATGGGTCGCGCCAGACGTCTAAAGTTTTGTGGCTCACACAAATCGAGAAAGTCGGATTTGTAATTGGACAATACCCAGGGAAATACCGGGTACTGCATGAGATCGTTGTAAGTGCGTCCGGCTATTTGATTTAATGTCATCAGATACTCCCAATTGGTTAATAGACCCTCGCGCCATTGTTGAGTAATGGCCAGCACCTTGCCGTTGTCCGGCGTCGTCACTATTTTATCACAGAATACGTCGCACATTATCTTCCAGTCGTCGGCATTTTGCAATGAGAAGAGTAACGATTTGTTCGTGTCGAGAAATATCTCAAAAGCCTTTTCCTGGTGCTGGTAGCGCTTTAGCCAGATTTCCGTAATGTTTGCAATATCACAGTTCACGTTAAAGTATTTACAACGATATGTGGCCAAAAAGTAAAGCTTGTGATCGGTTATAATGATTTCTCCGTCAATCTCCCCATCAATGGGTAGCAACTTGGCGGGAAAATTGTAGAGTATATGTGAGTTAAGCGATATGTTCAGTTGCTGATCGTAGCTGCTAATAAGATAATCCAGCGGACGAACATGAGCATCCGATTCGTCAGAGCAAGCCCGAGACTGCCCGCGATACTCGGTCATAAAGAAACGTTTAGGAATATCCAAATGACAACGTCTGAGGCGCGTGTGAACGCGCGATGGTCCTTCCGTGTCATCCAATTCCCAGGAGCTAAGCGAGGGGAAGATCAATTCTTAGAGAATTTAAGAGCAATTATGAGCTTACTTACCACTCGGCACGTTCGCTGGAATACCAGGGTGCACCCTCGTGGGTCATCCGTCTTATGATCTCCAACCATTTGTTGTATGTATATGTATCATCGTAGTCCTTCATGTGGCACATGAGAAGCTTACGTTCAGCATTCTGCAGTTCGGCTACACGTCGCGTTGTGACCATCGATGTTTCAATGCTGTGCTGCACCAGCACTTCAAATTTAAATATCGTCTTTTCCAGCAATGTTTTCTGCTTAGCCGATATATTACTACGATTCACATCGATGCGCTCCAATTCGTGCTCCAGATTCCATGTAGAGTCGTGCTCATTGATGCCCAACACTTGACACAAGCGTGGCAAATTGGCAATTGGCTCCACCAAATCCTCCAATAAGCTAAGCCACAACAGCGCCTTAATCATCTTGCCATCGCAAATAATTGCGGGTTGAGAGTCATCCTGACAAGAGATCCATAGAGCGTCCACAATAAAGGCGCGCAATTCACGCGGTCGCGACGGCTGCAGACCCCAAGCTATAAAATTATTGCAGCGCTGATTGGTCGAAATCCCATAGGAAACGAGCAGCTCAAATAGCGACAATTCCGGTACACTTGCCACATAGTTGGCGTCGCAATTGCTGGCTGTAAAATACTGCGCACATCGATCGACCAGCAGCTCGAGTCGCGTGCGACATTCGGCCAGACTAAGGGCGCAGTCCGACAGCGTGGTCACCCGATAGCTCCAAGGCACGTTCGTCGGCACGAAGAACATGTTGAGCCAGTTGAGCTGAAGAAGCGCCTGTACGGCACGAAAACTGCGAACAATCAGCGGTGGTTGCTTGTCCTGATAAAATGTGAGCATATTCAATATGTCCCACACGATCTGAAAGGAGAGAGTAAAGTTTTCACAAATAGCTAATTTATTTATGTTTATCCCCGAACCTACATTGATTTGTCCCACAGACTTAAGAGATATCTCGCCAACACTGCCCAGAAGTTCGACTATGGCCTGATCCTGATTCATGTTCGTTGCGCTGAGACGTAGCGAATATATATTATGCAAGGCTTTAACAGCGCATTGAAGCAGTCCAGCTTCGATGATATTTTGCTGCTCGTTGGGATTCTGAAATTAAGTCCCATATATAGCTAATTAAATGGATATGCTGGCTCTATTTACTCACATGCAGATACAAGCGTTGTAGGGTTTTAAAAACACGGTCCTCGCTGCCCCAATTATTGTTCTTCATGGCAATGGCCACCACAGCCTGGATGCCAAAGCGTTGACGTATGCACAGCTTGGTGTCACAGTTTAGAAAGGTGTCCAAATTTCCAGGAATGCCACTGACCCAGGCTACGCATGCCTCAAACATTTGCTCGTCACTATTGTGTATCGTAAGTTGATTGGCCAGATGTAAGGGATAAAGTTGCTTGGTAGCCGAGAGCAGCTCACTGGGCGCTAGACGTTGTGTTAGTGCTGATAGTAGTCTTATTATCGCTGTGCGGACGGAAGAGCTCTGGTGATTGGACAGTACCAATAAGAATTCGAGCCGTACATAGTGTTTGAGCACCTCGTCCACAGCCGAGTCTGGTAGCAGGCACAGGAAGTCCTTAAGCAGGGTAAGTAGACCGCGCTGCAATGTGATGATGCCCATTGAATCGTAGAAGTCAGTTTTAACAGGGTGCCGCAGCGTATGATGAGCTGATAGTTTCTGACCAGAGTGGTGGTTGTTGCTAGCTGAAGGCGTGCTATGACTAGAAGGCTGCCATGTTCTCGACGTATTCACATGCACGCGACGACGGGCTATCTTCTTGGGACTGTGGCTCTTTGGACTGGATTGGGAACCTCGATGACGCTTGAATTTCAGACGCCACCGCGTCGCTTCCACTGGACTGAGCAGACGTAAAGCCGACTTATTTAAATTTGAACAGTCTGCAACATTCTCCAAATTCTCCTCGAATTCGTTAATAGCGCGCCTGTAGGCAGATCCGGATGCATGCAGACGACGTAAGCGCTTAATCCTCTCCGCTCTTTGGGCATCAATATCAGGGGTTTGAGCTGGTTGCGCCACGCCCGGATGTGCACGCAGTGGATTTCGTCGAAAGGGTGTCGTTACGCGACTCAAATTGGCAGCCACCAGAGAGCGTTCTCGTGCGGGAGGTTGTGGCGTCAGCAAAAAGTAAAAGTTGGCGCGATCGTGGGTAACATAACACTCGCTGGGCTTCTGCAACAACAATAGCAATTTCATTATCTCGTCTAGAAGTGAAGGCGATGGCGGTGAACCGGCAAAGACAGCCAGAATTTGTACAAAGCATTCGGCAGCATATTTTGAAATATGCACAGGATTGGGCGACTCAATCACATAAACCTTGCACAAATTGAGCAGCGAACGCAATAGGCCTGCCTTTAGCAATTGCTCCATGTTGAAGTCGCGATGCGGATGCTTGTCGCGAGTGAGCGCCAATATGCTACGAAACAGCATATCCAACACATCAGAATGATCGGCGCCAGAGCGATGCCAATCCGAATAGCGTTGCAGCACGGCGAGTAGCAGCTGTGGATAAACCAAAGTGGCTATCGTCGTCTCAACCACATGCAGCGTATCTCCCTTGCGGTTAATCAGCGTTTGTGAGCAGGCATTGTTTAAAATGCTGCGCAACAGCAACACATCCTTGGAGCAGCGTTCCGATTTGATGACATAGCCAATGAGGCTCATGTAGTCCTGCCGCTGAAACTCCGTGTAGAGTTGGGTATCTGAATGCGCAACGTGCAGTAGTAGGTTCAAGGCTAAGGCCTGTGTATTGGCATTGCTGCTGACCTCGACAACCTGCAAGATTACAAAATCAGTTCTATGTGTGTAAGTAGAAGCCATCTTGATGAGTAAAAAAGCATTAAATTAATAGCTCTACAAATGTTCGCTCTTAGGTAAGTTATTTACATTTACGTTCACATTTTTGTAATAAGCTAGGTTAGGCTCATAGCTCGAAACTCATTCCATAAATTCGTTCCAAGTAATAATGTAAAATGAACGTAGAAGCAAGCTCACATTGTTTGTATATGTAAATACATATATAACCTGGCAAAAATATGGTTCCGAATTTATCACATGGTGAATCCAGCTTACTCTCTTAAACATAAACTGCTCAACTTTCGTTATGCAATAAAGAGGGCGTTGAAGTATATAAGGCTTCTAAGCAAGCTGTTAGTATGCCTTAGCGTTATCTTGGCGAAACCAACTCACCCTCGCAAATAGATACAGCATTGCAGGCAATCCACCGGAAAGCATTGTAGCCGTCTGTAGTGTTTGTAGTTGTTGCTGCAACAGCTCACCATACAGAATATGTCCAAACGGCTGACCGTAGTTAGCATTGTCCAGTTCCTGGCTTGCGTCATAGCCCATGACCAGTTCTGGGTTTTGGGCTGTGTAGACTAGAACGCGTGCCTGCCTTAACAGCTTCATAGCTTCTGCAAAGTTGCCGAAACTAGGCGTGCTGAGCTTGCTCAAATTTAAGTACCCATAGTTGGGCTTCCAATTGGCCACCTGACACTGTGTGAATTCTGTAAAGTCCGGTCCCATGGCGGTCAAGTTAAGCAAACAGGCGCGTTCTTTGAGTTTGCGCTTAAATAGCATCAAATTGGCGAGACTATAGCGGGGCGCACAGCCGTCCAAAGTGGAGCGCGATTCATTGCAGTAGTTCGAATTATTGTGGCTGTTGTTGTTGACAGTCCCAGTGCGCGCCGCAACCCCATCGCCAACGGCCAGCATTTGAAAGCTGTGTGAGCGTGTGGCCACTCGAAAATTCTGGAAAGGTAACACCACTGTATGCTGCTCCAGACCATCCATGTGCACGCCAATGGACAGACTATCAGCTTGATTGTCAATCGCAAACAGCAAATGTGTCCATTTATTACGTGGCAATCGCAAATATTTAAATTCAACGCTAGCCCCTTCATAATAAGCACAGCCATCGTTGCCATCGCCATGCGTTCCATGAATACCATTGAGAAAGTGCATCTGACCAATGCTATTGAGCAAAGCCATTTTAGTTTGTTTGAGAGCTTGACGAAAGCCATTGTTATTAGCATTCAAGGTTTGCTCATCGGGCTGTGGTTGTTGCGGTGACTGAGGAGAGTTTAATTCCATGGGCTCCTCAGCCATCGCAGAATTGCGCATGGGTAACTGCTCATTGGGCTTGACCATTTCAAATACCAGTTGCATGTTGTTGCTTATGTAAATACTGAGCATCGCTTGATTAGTGCCTATCGACACAATGTGGGATTTCTGTAAGCAGAAGAGATGTTGGTTTAGTTCCAAAAAAGATTCTATTTCCAAACTCCATCCACTCTCTTTGGGGAATATAGTTCCGTACTCACCGTCAAATCTTCACCAGAACATCGTGTGTCATCGTCATTCAATTGCGTACAGCTGCGATGGAACTGTTGACCCTTTAACTCCAGCCAGAGTGATATTGTTAGACCTTCGCTATGCCAAAGGCGTGTATGGGTAACCGGAACAATAATGGGCGCCCGTGTGAAGAGAGTCGTCGTTTGACACTGCAAATGATAGTTGCGAACTCGATCGATTTGAGTGCTGATGTTACGATCAGCAGTGCCAATTATTTTGCCGTCAATGATGAGTGGAAATTCCAATTCCATGCAGGGCTGTACCTTGCGCAGCGATCCTGACGTTATGTGATGCAAGTACTTCATTAGTATGTCCATTGGTGGTTGCTTGGAGGCCATGATGCTGAAGAAACACTGCAAAACATCGGGTGTATTTAGATGGGTGATCAGCTCCAATATGGAGTGTTGCAGTTCTGTGGGAAAATATCGATTTTAAATATGACAATTTAAAAAAAAATCCAGCTCAGTCGAATTACCTCTCAGGCGCGCATCATTACATCTTAAGAGAGGCGCAAATCCTCGTAGCAGGCATAAAGGACCGCCCAGCGAATCACGTATGACAAACAATCGATTAGCCAGCTGGGTGAGACTCTCTGTCCAACCGATGGGGTTGCGCATGCACAGCATAGACAGTTCGATGAGTATTTCGACAACTAGGCGACTTAAGCCTTCATGCATGATGTGCGTGCGATAGCGGGATGAAGGCTGAAATGAATGCCACATGTCGGCGTTATTCCCACCGCTACCGCCGCCATTATCGGCCCCGTTCATCTCGCACTCGGATTCGCTCATCTCGTGTATTTCGCCATCAGCTTCATAGCCCTCATCAGCAGTTAGATAATACTCCTGGTCGTTCTCACTGAACTCCAGTTCGCTATCCGCGGCACATACGAGCGACGCACGCGTTGAGAAATAATCCACATCGTTACCGCTTTCTCCCGAAATAGGACGTCTGGGCGTGGGCGGCGTGGCCATAGCATTCTTGGCCGGCAGCTGTGTGCTGGGCCGGAGGAGATAGTGGGATTGTGAAAGCTGTTGCTGCTTGGGGAGCTCCACGCCGGCGCAGTTGCTGCCGCTGTTGAATGAACGGGCACGTGGACGTGTCGCCTGTGTAGTTGCTGACGGAGATGTGCCGGCCGTGTTTAGATCGCTGCTGCTGACAATGGCCGCTGGCTCGTGGTGTGTGTTGGAGAGTTCAGCAATCTTGAGTAGGGTTTGCAGCGCCTGCATTATTGTATTATCTCGGGCGTGCTGCTCGCTATGCTCCTTCCAATTGTCGCTCGCATTGCTCAGTAGAATGGACTTTAGTTTCCGCAGATGCTTCTGCATCTTCTCCACTGCAAGTTCAGAGATAACAGAGAGAAAGAAAAGACAGAGTGTATTTATAAGCTTTGTCAGAGTGTGATTTTCTATCTGATAAGATGACACGCACTTGTTGGTTCTCTTATCTTCATCAAATATAGTAGTTGGCATATACAAGCAGACGTCAGTGTCGGACGAGAGCCAAAGCAAAAGTGTGGCCCTAATGGGAATGCCAATGCCGCTTGCTCGAAATTTTGTAACGTGTGCAACCGTACCGCACGACGCTCAGAAATTCAATCGCGTTGCGTGTGAAGAAGCGGCAGCAGCAGCAGCAGCCGCAGTTCACTTGTAAAGTGTTGGAATTAAACTAAACTAACTCGTCCGACAAACTAACTCATCCTACAAATAAACGACAGATCGACCGACTGAGTAACCGGCTGGCTTATAATTAACTCATAGACGACAACCACAGCACACCGTTATTAACATTGCCCCACGCAAAGCTCCCTTACCCTCCTACCATGCCGCCTCAGTGATTTTAAGTGAATGTGTGTGCTTTGTTCTCGTCGTGTCACTTGAAAGGCTTCCCAACCAGCCCGACCAGCCATCCAAACGAAGAACTCGTCAATTGCATTGGAAACGCATTAGCCGCGGAATGTTACGGGTGAAAACAGAGGCGTTTAAGCTATATACATATTATGGTGCTAGGTGATAATACTATACCCTGTGAAGAGTGGATGGCTTTTATGATTTCCGTATGAAATTATAGCTCGCATGGGAATGCAATTATGTACGAATGATATAACAATAAACCCAGCATATAGTATAAAAAGATAATGGGCTTGATAGTAGTAGTTGGCTTGGAAATCTAGGAGCAATATAAATGTTAGCTTTGGGAACGGGTCTTACTAATCTAACCTGCATAAATTAAGCCAACCATTAACATAACTGTTGACAACACTGTTATGATTAGGATAGTCTCGAGATTCTGTATTATAAATAGGTTGTTAGATAAATTTGTAAATTTTTATTCTTACTTGATATTTATTGAGGTTGGAACAACTTTAAAAATCTAAAGACAAAAACGTTGAGGGTCTTCACCATCTATAACATTTTTTGACTCCTCCCGTTTCAGTAACTTTTAATTCAAATTAAATAAATAAGGTACATATTCCAAATTTTTGAACCGAATAACTTATTAGTTTTGACAACATTTAATCGAATTCGGAAACAGATATGATTCTTATTTTCTCAAGATACCTCTAACAGTGCTTTAATTAACCATGGCGTGATGTAATATTACTTAATTGTTGCAAAGAAATATATTTCTTAATATAACTTTTAATTCTAGAAAACTTCAAAAAACCCATTCTGAATGTCATCTTGTTTTCTTTAAAATGCAATAATATTCGGTTAACTGGAAACTGTAAGATCCTTATGATCCCTTTATGGCAGCCTTGGGTGCGGAAATGTTCTGTCCTAGAAAAACTGAATAGTCGATTCTATGACACTCACCTTCCTCATTTTGGTATCCCTTGATGCAAATGGCCATGGTCGTTTCGAAGAGTTTTAGTAGCAACTTCTTGCAATCGCCACTCGGTTCGAAAAGACACAGTAGATCCGCATCAATGTGCGGTGCTAGCGACTCGTTGCTGTTGGCGCGACTGCCGCCGAAGAACGCGCCGACAATGTTGAAAAGTCTGCCAATAAGACTGGCAGCGGCAACGTCATCTTGTGATGACGCCACCAAGTTGCATGTCTTCGCCGGCTCTCTAAATGGGTCACTGGCAAAGTCGAAGCTGTCTCTGTGGTTTTTGCGGATGTTATTCTGCGAGTTAGTCTGCTTCTTGTTGCTACTCTTGGCTATGTTGTTGGCGCGTATATCGAAGAGCACAATGCTCTCGTCAGTTTCACCGACGGCTTGAAGACGTTTCAGAAAAGAGTGAGCGTCGGGCGCATAGTTGTCGGTAATAGAGGCGTAGTTGAGCGTAGAATCAGCAAGCGAATTTGTTGCGTTCGTTGTGGAGATTGACAGCGCACTGAATGTAGGCAACGGCGTAGATGGCGAGATGAGCATTCCCAATGAACTTGAGGTACAGATGCCGCCATTGATCATAGGTAGAGGCGTCATCGGAGTTGGCGTCGCTGCAGGCGTCGTTGTGGTTGCGCGCAATGCGGCCGTGGGTAGCAGAAGGTAACAACTCAATGCATTGTAGTTCAATTTGAGTATATCGACGATCGTCTTATCGCCATGTCTCAGCTTAGGTGACTGCTCCAGTTCCTGTTCCTCCACCTCCATTTCCGAGTCGTTATCAGTCAGAGGTATCGAATAAATTTTGGCAAACTCATTGTAAAAGAATTGACTAGTCTTGAGCAGCTCATAATTGAGTGTCCACTGTAAGGTAGTTATGTAGAGTATATCGGCAGGTTTGTGACCCTCCAGCAGCGTCTGTGTACGCATCTGCGACTCATCTAACCAGAAAATGGGCCATTTGCTCGACGGTATCTGCTTGCTGCATCGTTGCAGGAGCGCATGAAATAGCTGTGCGGCACGATTGCTGCTATTTAATTGTAATTGTATTAGACGACGACTCAGTACTATCTGCTCATGACTATTTTCGCCCAGAAATGCAATATTATCAATGCCCACCTTAATGAGATCGCAAACTCCGCGCTGCAGTTCTGGTACGCTTAACAAATCTTCCATATGTCGGATGTTTTCTTCGTTGTAAAAGGCCTTCACCAGACGTATATCACTTAAATACATCACAAATATGCTGAGGCATTCGTGTAGAGCGCGCTGATTGTCATTCTCAGTGGGCAGATGTAATGGCGGCAGCTTTTGATTGCCTTTTACTTTTCTGGCGATGCTTGTGCTAAGCGTCTTATAGTGACGAAATATCGGCAGCACTACTTCAGCCAAAATACCCGCCGCCAAATCGTATGTCAACAAATACGATATGTGCTTGAGATGCTTGAGGAACAGCAGCATCGAAATGGTGTCCAATGTTGATGCAGCTATGCGTGTTTCAAAATTGGTCTTATAAATTTGTAGCAACTCCCGGTGGAATTGTGGCGACTTTAGTTTCTCATCACAACTGACGCAGTTTAGCGCGGAGCGTGTTTTCAACGATGAGGTGGTGAAGGCGCGTACGAATATTGTGTGCAGTACGTTGAGGTTCAGAAATTTATAGGCACTTTTTTGATAGCTGCCCGATAGCTGTGTGGCCAGTCTCAGGCAGATAGCATAGTTGGCAGCATTGTAATGACAGCAACAGCTGCCGGAGCGGTGCAAACTGCTCACTGAAAGCTCCTGAAGTTCTTGGCATAACAGAGGCACCAGTTGGTAGAGTTTGCCCTGAAAGTAGCAGCTCAGTGAATTGCCAGTGCAATGCAATTGCCGCATGTGATGGCGTTTGTGACGTGGCGGCTGTTGTTTTAATTGCGCGCCCGACACGCTGCTGCTCTCCATGATGCACTGCAACTGCTGTTCGTGACGCGCTAGATTGTCAGTGAGGCGCAGCAAAATCTTATATATGTGAAGAAAGAGTAGCTGCTGTGCCGACAAGGTTTTTTCCGATAAAGCTGCTAATGCCGATGGCTGTAGTAGCTGAAGCAAGACATCAAAACAGGCATCGAAGTTGCTGGCATCGATCTGGGACAACTTAACCGCATCCTGTTCCTGTTGCGCGCTCAGCAACTCAACCAGATTGTGCAGCGTCCCAAACATAATGTACAAAATTCCATGGGACAACATGACGCTCCGTCTATTTGCCGCTAAAGCGTATAGCAGCTGACTGAAATTGCCATTGAAGTCTAGAACATTGGGTGGCAACTCATGCGCATAGAAGTTGTTCACGCAATGGGTAATCAATTGCAGCAATTCAAACTTGATGATCTCATCATTAGCATCAAGGGTTTCATTATCATTGACACTGGTGCACAAATGGCCCAATGCGAAATTATGGACAGCCACGCTTAGGCTGGGATCGCGTTCGGCATGGATGCAGCGCGTCAATAATTGAATGAGTAGCAATGCCAAATCATCGCTTGATTTACTTGCACTCTTGAAACCTTCAAAATCGTCATAAATCGCGCTTGATATGATGCGCTTTAATTCCAAATGTTTCTGCTTTACTTCCTGATGTTGATGTGGCTGTGAGTGGTTTGTATGTGGTTGCTTACGCGTCTTGCTGCGCTGAGTGGTTAAATGAAAAGTAACGATGAACTCAGACAAACTTGTAAGCGGCTGGAGCGGCGAGTTTGTCTCGCTCCATTTGCAGTCAGGAAATAGGTTTATACATAGTTGGCACAAACTCTTCTGCGAAGCAATGTGCTGTATAGAAATGAAAGAACTTTTAAAGAAGTCCATTGATTGGAAGTAGTTGTCTTATTTTAATTTTGAAACTTTTCTTACCTTGATGTCCACCCGTAGCAAAAAGTCCAATAAATGTTGGCCCAACTCATTGGTCAGAAAGGTGCGTAGGGCTAGGATTTTATTGCAATCACTGGGAGTACTTAGTATTAGCTAAAAACACAAGAATGGCTTTTCATTTCTGGCTACCCAATAACTTCCAATTGGTTCACCTGTGCTAAGTTGTGTTGCTTGCGGAGCTCTTTTATGCAGTTTACATCCGGCTCTTGTTCGTTTTCTTGATTTGTATTTGTGGTGCGCTTAGCTGCACTGATAATTTCATAAACTTGCTCCAGTAAATAGGAACACAATTCCTCAGGCATAAGATTAAAAAGGCTGCAAGAATTGAAAGATACTCAATCTAAAATGAACACTAGTTTGATAACCCACCTGTTGAACTTGGTGTCCTGCAAAGTTTCATCGTCTAAAAACTGAAAGTTGTACAGCAATAGCCACAGCCAGTGCTCCTGGAAGTCAAATTATAATTGGAAATATTATAGATATTTACATACTATATGTATAACGAATAATGGCTGGCAAAACCTTGACAGTAGATGACTGTGGTCCATCGTTGCACTCGCTCGCTTGCAGATAATGGCTCCAAAGTCTGCTCAACGTATCCAGCAGCAGTTGACGCTGTTTCTCGGCCATGGCAAATCACAGATAAAGGCGTGCGACGTCTTCACATCACACATTAGCATCGGGCAGACTTTTGCAGATTTTTGCTTCTCCGACAGGCAATGTTATGTTGTGGCTTCGATGAACGATGGAAAACAACTGAGTGCGCGGTACCGTGACAAACAGTTCAAGCTGCAATTATAAGCCAATCGCCAAGTGCATAAGTAAACTACAATATATACATAAGTAGGTTCATATACATACATAAGTATGTATGTATGTACATATGCATGTATGCAGTGCTTGCGGGTGTTTTGTAGAGTTGGGGGCCGGGCAACGTGTGTAAAGAAAAGCGTGGTCAGTGGCTTGCCGGTGATGCTGATAACTTGCCAGAGTCAGAGCATTGGAAATGCGATTGCATTTATAAGATTAAGTGCGTGTGTGGGGCAGTCTGACTATTACATTACTATTAATAGTAAAAATAATAGCAAAGCGTGTCAGTTGCCAAGCGCTAGTGCTAGTTTATATGATTGAAACAAAACTATTGTACATTTTCGTTAAAAATAACATCATCGTATTTCTTATTGTCATAGCTGCAAAAGCTGGAAAATTAAATATTAAAATAGGCTTTAAAAGCCCCACCTGTAACAATAATGCAAAAAGAGCCGAAAACGTGAATTTATGAACTGCGTAAATAGCAAAAATTAGTCATGTGTGAAGTCAAATTGTCAGTAAATGCAGCGTCTAGTATAGCCGAATAACAGAAAAACAACAGAGGGCTTACCCCTAGAGCACAACAGCAACAAATTTTTAAAACGCCATTTTGTGTGTTAAGCCGAAAAACAGTTTTCCAGGAAATGCGCGTGCTTGGCACAGACTATCACATTAATGCCGGCAAGTACAAGTGCTTAGAGCAACTGTATTGTGCAATTTTTACGTTTAGTTTACGGTATAATTTTGAAAATAAACAATCGCGAATTAACAACTGATTTTGCTTTGTTTTCTTTCATCAGCTGTCTGCCAAGCGAAAAGTGATGGCCTCAAGTTGGACGCTGGTGGCGATAACGATGACACATCAGCTGTTAGTCGATAGCTAGCATTTCACGCTCACGCAATGCGTTCGGACCAAATAGTTGGTACTTGTTGCGCACAACTGTTAGTTGCGTTCTGCGCACGTTCGCGAATAGATATTCTTATTGGCTTCGTCGTTCCATGTAAATAGCGTGGAAGGAAGTATATCTCTTGATTGAAAGAACATTGGCCAGTTCGGAGTGTGTCAGTTTATCTAATCGTGTAAAATGCTGCGCAGATTTATAGCTCAGAACCATGTTCAAGGCAAAAGCCATGTCTTTAAGGTGAGATTTGCAAATGTAACTACCAGATTTGCAAGCAACCTAATTACTATGCAGATACAATTTTAAATATATAAGCTAGTAAGCCCTTGAATTATTAATTACAAACACCACCTGTGACATGTGTGCGCCAATAGAAAACTAGTTTGCACCTCGTCATGGCAATTGAATTGACGAGAAGAGTCCCCAATGATAGTTAATTCAATTATGACTAAAGCAAAAATAATATTTCTATGTGGCTAAAAATAGCGCAATTTTTAGTTTTGCGTATTAGTCTGTTTTTTTTTTATATTTTTTTTAAGTTAGCGAGTGCTGTACATAGTGATAGTGATGAGGACGTGTGTGCTGCCTCTTCCGCCTCTGATCTGATCTTTAGCTTAATTTAATTTCTTGCGATTTTATAGCGTGATTGTGCACCTGGAATATGAGATAGTGTGTGCATTCGCACACGCACATAAAATAACACCGCGCAGCAAACTTAATTGAGTTCTATTAAGCTAATAAATACATACATAAGTAATAGAGAACGTATCTCTGGCTCGGCTGTAATTTAAATTCGTCGCCACTTTCCAGCTCATTGCTTGTTACTCCACCTCGGGCAAGCCCCACAAGGGCAAAATATATGCGTCGGCCCAAGATGCTATTGCCGATGTCCAGGATGGAGCCTACATCCTATTTGGCGGCTTTGGTGTCTGTGGCATTCCCGAGAAAATGATTGAAGCTCTGAGGGATAAGGGTGTTAAGAATTTGACTGCAGCATCTAACAATGGCGGTAAGTAATCATGTGGGCGCTCCCCTATCTTAATCAATTTATTATCACACACTTAAATTTTTGCACAGGTGTCGACAATCGTGGTCTGGGCGTACTTCTCAAGAGCAAGCAGCTCGGAAAGATGGTTGTATCGTATGTGGGCGAGAACTCCGAACTGGTTAGGCAATATCTGTCGGGCGAACTGGCTGTGGAATTGACGCCTCAGGGCACTTTGGCCGAGAAAATTCGTTCAGGCGGTGCTGGCATACCAGCTTTTTACACGCCTACAGGTTATGCAACGTTGGTGCAGCAGGGCGGGGCACCCATTAAGTATGCAACGGATGGTTCAATTGCCATACCCAGTGCCCCGAAACCCGTGAAGGAGTTTAATGGACGCAATTATGTAATGGAGGAGACAATTTTCGCTGACTATGCTATGGTGAAGGCACATAAGGCCGATCCTCTGGGAAATCTAGTGTTCAATAAATCGGCACGTAACTTCAACTCCCCTATGTGCCGAGCTGCCAGGGTCACCATTGCTGAGGTGGAAGAAATTGTGCCCGTTGGTGCTCTTTCACCCGATGAGATTCATGTACCTGGTATCTATGTGAAGCGCATTTTCAAGGGCACCAACTACGATCGGAGTGTGGAGAGATTGCGCATCACCGAGCCCAAGGATGCGAGCAAGGCAGCAGCGCCACCAAATCCTGCCCAGGCTATACGTGAACGTATTGCTCGACGTGTGGCGCTTGAGTTCAGGGACGGCATGAATGCGAATTTGGGCATTGGCATACCCGTTTTGTCCTCCAACTACATACCCGCTGGCATGACGGTCATGCTGCAGTCGGAGAATGGCATTCTCGGTCTAGGCCCCTTCCCCACCAAGGATAAGGTTGATCCCGATTTGATTAATGCTGGCAAGGAAACCGTAACTGTTGTCCCCGGCGCCTCTTTCTTTGGGTCAGACGAAAGTTTTGCCATGATTCGCGGTGGTCATGTAGACCTGACCATTTTGGGCGCCATGGAGGTGTCCGCTACAGGCGATTTGGCCAACTGGATGATACCCGTAAAGATATAAATTTTTCAAGAATTTATATTTTTATTTAAAGTAATTTTTTTTCCAGGGCAAGCTTGTCAAGGGCATGGGTGGCGCTATGGATCTGGTGGCGGCTCCAGGCACCAAAGTCATTGTCACCATGGAACATAATGCTCGCGATGGCACGCCCAAGATTCGGGATTCCTGCTCATTGCCTTTGACCGGCAAGGAAGTCATCGATCTGATCATATCCGAGAAGGCTGTCTTCAGTGTGGAGAAGGGCGTTGGCCTGACGTTGCTCGAAGTGGCCGAAGGCCTCACTGTCGACGACATCACAGCCTGCACCGGTGCCAAGTTTACAGTATCACCCGACGTCAAGCAAATGGCTCAAATTGCTACATGAAGCTCGCAACGCGCAACTCGTTGCTTCAATTGTAAATAGTTCTAAGATTGGATGGCATTATTAATGTTAATTTTTAAAAACTATGCTCAGGACCTAAAGTGATACAATACAGTTGTGCATTTATTTTGGACATCGTGGTGTTTACTACATACATATGTATATATTTTTTAATTAAATTGTGAAAAAGCATTCTCTGCGTGCTGGCTCCTAGCCAATGGCCTTACTTATGTTCTTCAATGTACCGGATCTATGGGATTTCCTCATTTGTTCATTCAAAATATCGAAGATGCGATTGAATTGGCTGTCGGTTTCTGTGCGACAGATTGCACAGAACTGTGAGGTCAACACATGCATGGGACTGCGAAAGTGCAGATTCTTGTGCATCGTCAAGCCATTCTTGTAGTGGGACAGCATGTGGAGTCCGATTTCCAGCAAGGCCATCAATATGGCGAGGAACAAATTGTGGCAGAAGAGCGTTGGTATGAGAAACAGCAGACAATGGTTGCGCTCATAGCCCAATATGATATTCTGTGGAATGGAAGGGGGACTTTATTAGATTATCGTTGTATAATGAATGTAATATGCAGAATAAGGTGTGGCATCGACAAAAATATGCTGTCTGTCTGTTTGTATGAACATCGGGATGTTTTGAGCCATAACAGCTGCGGACAGTAAACAAACAAACAAATATCGAATAGGATCTACTCACGCTGCTGACACAATCCATTTGGATATAATCCTCACGCTCGTAGCCCGGCTTTGCTTTCGGTTTGGAATTCTCGGCCCGCTTTAGGTTGGAGCCATGTGTCACTGTAATGTCCAGATCGCGCTGATATCTGTTGGTCAGGACATTGTCCACCTGATCGCAGAGTGTGCCCTGCAAGTAGTGCTTCGGCACATGAAAGTGTCCATGCTTTCGATAGCGAACCTTCACCTGTCCATGGACAGGCTCGCCAGTTTCCTCATCGTATTGGAGTTGCTTGATGCGTGCTGTGTCCTGGGGCTCGGCATAAAAATACTCCAACTCTCCCGTCTCGGTGTTCTGCAAGGACAAAACAATATACAAGATAAGGCGCTTTATCTACAATTTACATATATAGTATATAGCATATATGGAGGGACTTAGATAAGCGTGGGCGCTAGCTTCGCAAAAATACAAAAACTTTCCAGTATGAGCGAAAAAGAGAGAGATAGGAGAGCGAGCTTCAAAAACCGGCTAGACATGGCGTGATGTGAGCTCAGATCAATTAAGAGCACCGGGAGCAGACATCAGATTTCATAGTTCTAATTGTTTCTTGGCTTCGAAGCAATTAGCATAAAACGACGACTACTTTGCACGATTTCAGCACCTTACTCTTCGACCGTCTGCTCGCAGCTATTCATAGCAAGAATTATCTCTCTTTGGAACGGCAACAACAATATACCAAGCCGATAGCTGATTTCGAGCGATATTTCAAGCTTTTTGCTTTAACAACGACACGAACTTCTTACCATCAACATCATTTGGAAACAACTAACTTGGTTTGTTTATTGTCGGAGCTTTCGTTCGGACCCGATCCGAAAAGCTACGGAATCTTATCGTAACGTTTAGGCCCGTAGATATGGGAACCTAGACATTTGCTTTCCTATCTATATATATGTATGTCTGTCTAGAAAATAAAAGGGTGAGTTAGTGGGGTGTCTTGGAAGCCAAACACATTCCTATATATACATATATGAGTCTTAGCTGATATGACGTGCATAGCCACTGGATTCGTGTCTAGTTTAATATATTAGCTACGCCCATTAAATGTCAATTAATGCTTTTGAAAACTGGAAAATTGCCCCTACAGGTTTTCCTGATGCCGATGACTGTTGATGCATGTAGGAATTATTTATTATACGTTTATATAAGAACTTATTTTACGTGCGATGCGTCTTAATGCCAATCAAAACTAAACCTGAAGAACATATCGTGTAATTGTAGAATAAGGGTGTAGAAAAAATGAATGCTTTTTTGACTCTTCTGCTTTATCAGGCTGGATAGACTATCCGAGCAAGTGCTGCGCCTACTGATTTATTGATAGTACATCTGATTGTTAGCACGCAATCAATCAGTATGAAGTGTTTTGTTGTTAATGAGCTTCTGGTATTGTATAATAAATTCAAGTGTATTTCGAAATGTTCAAACGTTTAATTAAATACATACATGTAAGTTTGATTGTGAATCTTATTGTTAAGATAAAGAAATCGAATATTTTACAACAAAATTCGATTGAATAAATCTAAATAGAATAACATACTTGTATACTAAGCTGAATCAAAGAAAAGAGAACGATCAATATTCATTAAATTTAACTAATTATCAAAATATTCTCTAAGGGAAGCCTACAAAAATGACTTAATTATGAAATGTTGCCTTCAGAAACTAGTAATTAAAAGCTATGACGTTTGTAGCACATATTATAGTATATTGACGAGCTGTCGCTAAAATCGGTAACTTATAGCTTGTGAAAAGCTGTATTATCTTATAATACCTATAATATGTTAATTTCTTGTCATTACCTTAGAAAAACAATCTAGAAAATGTATGATAAACGAAAGCTTTAAAAACGTTCAATAAAAGTTAAAATAAAGTTACAGAAAAAGATGAAAAATATTTAGAAAACAGATCTGTTTTCAATATTCTTTGTAAGGTGTTAATAATTTTAATAAGAATTAGATTATTCCTATGTTATTAAACGAATGAATGAAATAATTCTATGTTATTAAATGAAATGAATAAAACGATCAGAATTAAGATCTTTAGAACGATAGGTGGTCGCACAAGTGTGAAAAGCTAAATTGATTAAATTCTTAATGAGAATCAGGTGAGTATGTCAATGATTTAAATGCCATCCAAAGGATCTGCATACAAGGGTTCTCTTTCCTCTGTAAAGTTATGAATGAGTGAATGAATGAATGAGTGAAAATTTTGTATAAACGCTTTTCCCCCTCATATACAACAGGAATTAACTGTTAGTATGGGTTGTAGAAAACTTGTGAAATAATAATACAATTAAAAATTCAAAGAAAATGTTGACATACTTTGAACATCTGTGCTTAGGCATGGTATTCATTTAAGCCATACCCAATGGAAACTGCTATCTATAAGTTACCTTGGAAGCTCATTAAAATATTTAGTTCAGTCCCTATAAAGGGGAATGATCGACATTTGTGTGTTCCTCACTGTTTAAACCGTAATCACCACAATCAAGGTCAAGAAATTAAAAATAATGCCCACGGGACTTAAACATATGTTTTTGAATACTACTGATAAGAATATAACTGATAAGCTGGAAGCACACTCATGTTTTAGTCACAGAAATGAACTACAAGTATCAAATAGATGGACCCCTGCATAGCTGGAAGCGGAACCCGAGCATTATGAGTTATTACCAGAGGTATCATTATTATTGTCTGTACGTACATAACACTTCTATCTATTTTTAGCTGGACCCAGCCATTTGAAATCAATTATATGATAATAATCACGGCGGGCTTGCAGTAATCAAAATAATAGCAAATGCGACCCCTTTTCCTACTCGTCCATATGTACCTACATTTCTATGAGAGTTAATGAGAACTAGCTAATCGCAAAAAGTAAACTACGGAGCTCTAGTGAGTGATTAGGTAAAAACAAATAAACGAGCTGCCGCAAATTGTACTTGGAATAAAAAACAATTCCATCAACTGGAGAAAAGTCTAGCATTTAAATATAATAAAATACTGAAGTAGTTGGTTTTTTTCCTAACATTTCAATAAAAACAATCCATTTATTTTGCTCGTCTGTGTTCAGGTTCTCTTTTTAAGCCGATAAATATTCCTCTCAGCTGTTGTGGAAACGCAATGTTAAATACTTATGGTAAAAATCTTAATCATAAGTAAAGATTTTATTTTTTGTGAACATTTTCCGAGATGCAATATCTTAAGCAAATAAAATGTCAAGAGATTCAGATATGAATTGAACTTTTATATTACGAATTAAGAAAGATAAAAGAAACCACTGTTAAATTTACAATATAGACTAAGAAATTATTTGTAGTACTAACATTTTCAGAAGAAAAGTAAACTTAATATCTAAATATCATTAAAAAATATTAAATATACAGCATAGTTTGTCAGAGCAGATAATCCTAATATGTAGATCTTTCTTAAAGAAAATATATTTAATAAAAACAAGCAATTTGTGTATCCCATTAAGTTTAATAAGAATAGCAAGTTTGGCAAAAACATATATATAAGTTGAAAAAGATAATGGTGTAAAGGGTATTATGGCTTCGTTTATCTCGAAGCTAGTCTAGTTGATGTTAATTTTATTAAAGTGGGCTGATTCCCCGAATTTGAACATCAAATTTCGTGCTCACCTTAATGGAGTATACCATGGTTTGCCTTTTTCGCTTTTTCTTTTTTTCTATCGTCTCTCTTGCTGTTTACTTTTATTTCTCTTGCTTTATAATGTCCGATATTTTTGTTAGTTTCTTTGTTTATTTTCTTTTCGCACATATACACGCTCCGTTTGCTTTTGGTGTTTTGAGTGCCACGCTATTTATTATTTAATTCCGCTTTACACTCCGCCCCCAACGGCGAATTCAAAGCAAACTAAAATGTATAGAAAAGCACATCTATATAGTATAAGTATAACAGATGATTTGTGGAGGGGCTGCAACCAAATGATTTTATGTATTATTATTTAATGTCAATATGGTAATAGTATTATTACATTTGATTTTTGGCGAAATACGAAAAATAAACCGGTTAAACGAGTTTTATTTTAAACAACTGTTTGCAGATCGAGTAATAATACATGGTATAACATTAGTTTCTATGCCAAACAAAAAAGACTAATTAGTAAGTATGTTAATAATACTTTCATTTTGAATGAGTCTTGTTTGTTTTGGCATTTACCGCACAATTTTTCATTTCGTTTTGCCGTCGTTTCCCATTCGTTTACGCTGATCAACTGAACCAAATGAAGAGAGGCAGCTATTTTATAAAAGAAAAAGCGATAGAAATGCCTATGAGTTTCGGCTCTTTATCTTATTGTGAAACGCTTCTAAGAGTACGATGCATTCATGTCGAAGCGGTGACAACACTGGCCAGCAAGCTGTTCGCACAAAATGACAAATGTCTGTGCTGAGCTTTTATGGCCAAAGCTCCCGCTAGTCGCCATAACAGAGCTTAAACAACAGTTGCATTCTAATAGAGTACGAATATTGGCTATTTGAAAGACGATCATGGAAGCGGTTTGCATAATTAGTTACATTAATTGCTCCAATATTCCTGGTATATGGGATTATCTTGGACTTGGAACTGACATCCCTCCAAGCTGTTTACACTTTCGTATGTCATTATAATATTATGAGTTGTCATATTATCACATCATTTATCTACAAGATTATATCTTTTTATGGGCTGTCTTCGGATGCCGTTGGACTGCTTCGATGTACGTTTTAAATTTTAGTAACTGGGCATTGGGCCTGACGTGTGGTTGTCTTTAAAAACGCGGTAGAAAGTATTTTGATCTATTCGACAGATCCTGTGCCAGAGAATTGCTTAAAAATAAAAGAGTCTTATCTCAATTGACATTTGCGTATTCTATTCTTTCTACAAGTGATAAGAAATTATATTTGCGATGAAGTAAGTTAATCAGCCATAACTTTCCTTATGAATGGCCATAAAAGCACACAACTAACTGAATGGCAAATTAAAACAATGAAAAACATCATAAATCTGCTTGTCAGTCAGTTAAATTTTGTTTGATTTTCGGCTGAATAAATTCTGTTTGTTATCGCTTAAATAAATGAGTTGAAATGAGCTGCAATATGAACATAAGTACTTTATATAGAATACCTGTAATTATTGAGATGCTAAGCTATCTTATAGTATATATTTCTATATACTATACAAGAAATGGTATCTCATAATGTGGAAAAACAGTGTTTTTAGTAGCTTTAAAATCACTTTTCAAAGTAATGAATAAATGGCAGTACTATTATTTCTGTTTCTGTCGAGTTATACTTTAATTTTGCTGTTACTATTTACAATATCTTAAATTAAACTTAAATAAAAATACAATTACACCTTGAACTATGAGTTTAGTTTTATTCTATATTATATTTATTGTATTTTTATTTCAAGCAAAGTAATATAAACTTTGTCTAAGAAATAATGTCGTGTTTTCCGACAATATTATTGTGATGATTTATATAGCTGCCTTAAATGAAATATTTTGATTTTTATAAAGGCATGTGCATCGACCAGGCATATAGGGAATGTGCTGTGGTTCGCTTATATCTACAATTAGCTTTGCGTTAGATTTCTCAGAACTAATCAGGCGTTATCTCACTATTTGGCATATTTGTTGCTAACAGTCTTAGGGGAAAATTTATATTAATTAATTATTTTCCCTAATTACATTCAATTTAGCAAGCAGAACGGATCACAGAATGGCGTGGCTCTTTATGTGCTGCCCACAACAGCAGCATCTTTCCAAATCAGAAGACCTCCCGATGATGATTACGATCCCCATTTACATCGAAATGTGAAGAATCCAACCACGTAAGTGGGTCAGAATTGATATCAAACGAGTGTCACAATTATCGATATTTTTAAATATATTTAAATAGCAACTGGCAAACATTTGCACATTTTCTGAAGGCTTCGATCGGTACCGGTGTTTTGGCCATGCCCAGTGCCTTTGCCAATGCTGGCTATGTTGGAGGCACGATTCTAACGATCATTATAGGTCTGTTGGCTCTCTACTGTCTACACATTTTGGTAAGTTAACAGACAATAGTTGTAAATTGTCTTATCAGTGGAGTGTTTGCAGATAAATTCGATGTACTTGCTCTGTAAGCGGCGACGGGTGCCTTATCTCAGTTTCTCTGAGGCCATGAAGTTGGGTCTGCAACAGGGGCCCAGGGGGTTGCGATTTTTAGCTCCCTTTGCTACGTAAGTTTTTTAAGCTTTTAATCCAAATATCTGCTTATCTTGAGATGTCTTGAATATATTATAGCCCCTTTGTGGATGGTTTCTTGGCTTTCTATCACTTTGGAATTTGTTGTGTTTATGTGGTTTTCATAGCTGAGAACATTAAACAGCTGGTCGACGAATATTTGATAGTTTTAGATATTCGTTTACACATGTGTTTCCTTATTGTGCCTTTAATGCTAATTTATAGTGTACGAAATTTAAAATTATTAGCGCCCTTTTCGAGCGTTGCGAACGTTTTTATGTTCGCTGGTGAGTTGCATTAATAAAGAAGGGCTTATAGTGTTTTAAAATAATCATTCTTTATAGGTTTTGGCATAATTTTGTATTATGTCTTCACTGATTTGCCGCCGCTTAGTCAGCAGGATGCATTTGTTTCTTATAAAAAGTTGCCTACCTTCTTTGGCACCGTTCTATTTGCGCTGGAGGCTGTTGGCGTGGTAAGTGTGGTTGTCTAAGAAAAATTAAAAGGGTTTCATGATACAATACATTGTTTTGTTTTAGATACTTGCCATAGAGGAGAACATGGCCACACCTAAGGCTTATGTGCGGGGCTGTGGCATCATGAACTGGGGCATGTCCATTGTCCTAGCTTTGTATGTTGTTGTGGGCTTTTTCGGCTATTGGAGGTATGGTGAGGAATCGAAGGGCAGTATTACGTTAAACATACCTCAAACGGAAATGTAAGTAATTGCATTGCTTAAGTTTATCTAACAAGGGAATTGGTGCAAATTTGTAGCTGGGGAAAGGCGATAAAATCAGAAAAGGAATAGGAGAGTAGTAGACATACCCCAGTTACTTGAAAGTGTGCTCAGACTTTTTCGAAATTCAGGCGTTCATCCAGGCATACTGACAGACTGATATGGTTATATCGATTCCTCTCTTAATACTGATACGGAATATATACAAGTATATACATATATACTTTATGTGGTTTGAAATACATACATATATTTTGCACAAGCCTAATATATGCTTCTAACACTTCTGGTATATCAATACTGTGATCTAAAGTTTTTGTTTGTCATATTAAATTTTGTTGATTTATTGATAAATAACAAAACAAACGAAGTATAGAAACACACTATCAATATTAAAGGTTATATGTTATAAAGGTTATTTATAATATAATCAAAAAATATAAATTTAAAAGCCGCAAAATAAAAGAGATAGAGATGTTACTGAGGAGGCAAAGTGTTGTGGAGGAACAATTTTTTCTGGGGCTGAATCAATATGTCTAGAGTGGGTTTATAAAAATAGACTTATCGGAATATGAATACAACATCCTAACTACATTAACATTAAAAAAAGGGCTTATAAAATTGTTAATAAGTTGCCAGCCTAAAACCAAAAACTTCACATTGAAGGCGTAAGCCTAATAAATCCCTCAATTCCTTGGAGTTTCCTCAGCTTTTTTATTCCAGTTGAAAATCATGGTCATGCCTTTTATTCGATGTAAGATGATTTGGGATTGGATTTCGCAATAAGTAGCTTGAGTTTTACAATAATATTATCTTTGAATAGTGCGAATTTAAGATTCGTCTATAGCTTTAAAACAGTTTAAGTAACTCGACATTTTTTTTTTGGCTGTTTCAGACCAGCTCAGGTGGTAAAATTATTTTTTGCAATCACCGTTTGGATTTCCTATGCACTACAGGGCTATGTGACGGCCAGCATAGTCTGGCATAAGTATCTGTCTAGGCGCATAAATAATAAATCGCTGCACTTGCCCTATGAGATGCTCTTCAGATTGTGCATTGTGCTGCTCACTTGTAAGTGAACTCAAACGTAAATTTGAAATTATATCGATGCTGATACTCGTTCTCTTCCGGCACAGTTGCCTTCGCAGTCGCCATACCCAATCTATCGGTATTTCTCTCGCTCGTTGGATCATTCTGCTTATCTATTTTGGGTCTCATATTCCCAGCTCTGTTGCAAATTTGTGTGCAGTATGCGGATGGCTATGGACCGTGCCAGATAAAGCTGCTAATCAATTTACTGCTGCTTGTGTTTGGCGCTTGCGGCGGTCTCGTGGGCACTTATGTGAGCATTAGCGACATTATCGATGTCTACAAATAGTGCTGCTCTGCGCTGAAAATAAAGTATGCAATTAAATTTAAATTACAAACACACATCCACAAATATGCATTGCGTGTGTGTGCGCGCCTGGACAGCGGTGCGTATGCGTAATCAGCAAACACTGTACTGTGAATTCTGTCGGTTTTTGGTTGTGTGAGTGTGTGTGTGTGTGTGTGTTTTGCGCAGTTTGTGTTTGTGGCCAATGTTCAATGGCATGGCTTATGCAAATTATATTGTGGCACGACAAGCTCCCTTTCCCCCTCTACCGCCTCTGCATTATTTCAGCCGACCACACAATTATTGTCTGTATGTTGCGTTCTAGGCAATAATCACACAGTTTATAGCGCTTGCCACCAATATCAACATATCAACACAGCATTAGAACTTACGAGGACTATGTGTCAATGGCTTGCAGCTGCCATCTAGGTAGCATATTGTAATTTAACTTCGGTGCAATGCCAAGTAGTCAGTTGTAAACAAATTGCCAACAAGAGGGCAACAAAAATATTTGCAACTTTAATTAAAAAGCTAAGCGTACGCCAATACAAGTGTGTGCACTGGAAAAAATTAGCACTTTGCAACCTTAACTTTAACTTTGAAATCATTTCATAAATGCGAAGCTGTGGGTCATACAAAATAGATTTATCTATTTATTTTAGTGAAGCATTTTAATGTGCTCTGCGAACATAAGTATATCCGTATTTTGTATATTTTTAATATACAAGTAGTTGAAGAAATTTAACACGGTTTAATTATTTAGGCCTTCTCTGCTTTACACGTTTTGTAGTAAGCTTTGAGTTTGTAGTCCATTCGATATGATTACCAATTCTTTCTTATTTAACGGCTTAATTAGTTCTATTCTTTTTTATATTTTTATCGAAAGCATTTATTTGCGTTCAGTGAAAACTGAAAGTGTTGTTTTGCAATTTGAATGGAAATTTAAATTATTATTATAAGTAGATTGATTTAGTTAGAAACTTTTTTTTCGCCTAATTATTATTGGAGAGTTATTTTATTTACTCATATTATAGAATTTCATTATCGTCACAAGAAACGGCACCGATATATTGTCTGCATTGAGTATAAATAGCACGTTGTCTTTTATTTTTTCTAATGTACTTTACACATTATTTAATGGGCCCTTTCCTAGACCATATGTGCAGTATGTGCTTGTATGTAGTTATGTCGGCACTATTTGGATGCAGTGCGGTTGGTCAGCCCTGCAATTGGAATGTGTTGCACCGTACAAATATGCAGGGCTACAGTTCAAGACAAGAATGAGGGGGAGCTAGAGCATCAAGCCAACTGGCAGACGGAGCGACACACACGTGCAGCAAATGCAACGAACTGTAATTAAATGCAACCGCAATTAACACAAAAGCGCCGTAGGTCAGCAAAGGAAGCACAGGAGGCGATGACGACGTCGTCGACCCAAAGAACTAGCAACCCAGCGACCCAACGACCCCGAGAGAACTCGACGAACGTGAGGAGCTGCATTTTATATTTGTGTGTGAGTGTGTGTGTGTGTGTGTAGCACAATGTTTTGTGTACAGGTTGCCAACGCTCCCCAATTCTGTCTCTATTGCCATTGCCATTCCTTTGCCTTCCTTGTTTTTTGTCGTTGTCTTCTGCAAGCCACAACGCTGTAATGACCGTCGGGCATAAGAAGTAAAACCCAAAAGCACATTTTTCTCACACTTCCCCACTCGTTCTCTGCCCTTCTCACACGCTCACATACTCACACTACTATGTTGTGTCTTGAAATTCCGTTTGCTTTGTACGTTTAATTACTCTTTTTGACGGAAATAACACAACATTCATTTTAAAAATGGCAACAAAATATGTAGGAATGTGTGCCTGTGTATGTATGCATATGTCGTACTTGTGTGTGTGTGTTTGTGTTGGTGTTGGTGTTGGTGGCAGACAACACTGATGTGCAGCGTGTGAAATGAAACACGTTGCTGCAGCAGCAATCCTTGAATTTCCATAGCTATGAACAATTCAAGTATTGCCTGAAATCAAAAACCATACATTGGTGTTTTTCGATGGAAAGTAAAACACACAATGCAACGATGGCTTTGTCTTTTGCAATACAAAAGTCAAGGTTAATTCATTTTTTTGTTTCTTCGCCATTCTGTTGCGTCATTTAGCATTTTAATTATATTTGCTCAATGCCGCCTGCCAGGCAATTGCTTATGTGAATGGTCGTGTTGGTGAAAGGAAATTAACTTACGCACCATGAACCATGGTGAACCAGGTATATGGTCAGTTGGATTGATGAATTTGCCTTTGAATTGCCAGCGGGTATGTGTATATGCATGCCAGTTAATTAGAAAATGGCAGCCACTGGATAATGGCTACTATGACATGCATGAAATGAAGCTCAAACAAAGCATTGTAAGCAGATAGAACAGCATGGGCAGTAGCTAATTAAATGTAGTATGAAGGAAATAATTGGATTTTATTACTGTGTATAATATACGTAAAGATATGACAATGAAGCCATTTTGTGTTTCATTATGTTGAGCTTTCTCTTAGAAAAAACTCTATTTAATCGGAATATTGGAATGTATCATATAATATAAGTTGCGTTTCTCTTATCTTATATACATAAATTGCTCATACCTTAATGGTAGAGCATGTGTATTTATGTTAGCCTTCCCGTAATGAAATGAGCATTGAGATGGAGGTATAGCGCGAGGAATAATGTAATGAGAAAAACTTCTTTGCGTAACAGAAAAAAGTAAGGGACAACATTAAAATTGAAAGCAAATGTATAGTAAATGAGGTAAATATTATTTGGAAAAAATTAAATTATGACAACAATAAAGTTTCTTATCAAATAATAGCTAAAAGAGACATTGATTAAAAATTAATCGTATATATAATACTATTATTGTACCATTAAAGGAAATAGAAAAGGAATAGTATAAACTGAATTAACGAAAAATGCAACGATAGTTATTTTGTAGGGTTTGTGCTTATTTGTTAATAATATTAATATCAATCAGGTTGAAAATCTATTTATGATACCTTCAATTTGGCGATGAGAGTGCATTGAGCGTTACATTTAACATATGTAAGTATGTACCTGAAACTACTATTTAAAGCGTTGAAACATGTGAGTTTTTTTTCCCTAAAGCTCATGTTGCTGCCATGTTCAAAGCGTTGCCTGCTCTAGCCAACTAGAAGTGTATGGATGGATAGGATCAACTGAAGAACACTTTCTTTTACAAATTCTAGAAACGGTTTGTCTCTGTAAAATTGAAATTGTTCCATGCTTTTATTAAGATTGGTCAGTTTGTCAAAATCTGGCAAATAAATATTTATGTTTTCCTTTTTTTGGGTGTTAAATTTAAGAATACAATACAAAGACCGTGAAACAGGTAGTAGCAGTAAAAAGTCTTTGGTTTTGTTTGTTTTTATTTTCAATTTTTTTTCATTCAGATATATGTACGTGTATAACTAACTGTTCAGAAATGTGCACTTTGTTATGCAAGGGTGCCATTTATTATGGTAAAAGCTGTTCTCGACCCTATTTCGTCAGCTGTTGTTATAAGAAATTTCCCACGGGTGGTATGAGTAATTTTTTTGGCGTAAACTGTAGCATACTTATGGGAGCATTCATTGTTGGTGGCGTATTTTAATATTTTGTTGATATTCGGCGAAATAATAAGTAAGTCGAGAGACGAGGAGAGAGAAGGAGAGAGAAAATGCACACTTGTTATATAGCATCTTTAAAAAATCTCCTTAGCTTAAAGTACTTGTAATCAGCATTTATTCAGCGCAAATATGACCCTAGAAAGGCATCAGCTTTAACTGCCGTGCGTTTATCATTAAATGCCCAGCGATTTGTTAGCGCTCACGTGCGGCCCTTTTTCTTTGCTTTTTCGGTTTTGTTTTATTCCTGTTTGCATTCCTTATGCATACTCGTACATACACGAACAGCCGCGTATAGCTCGGACCAATGCTTATTTTAGCTTTGAACTGCTTACATAATTACATATTTAGCATGCCAACTGCTTAATTTTGCGTACTCACAAAACTCACAACAAAAGCGACTCATTTTTATTCATTTAACTAATTTTGGGCTTACGCCGACGCTGTGCTTGTGGCAATTTGTTTGGCTTGTAGCAGCTACAAATGTTTTCCCTGACTGCCAGAGTGTCTGTTTGTCTGTTTGTCTGTCTACAAACGCGTGTGTGTGTGTTCAGAAGCAACAAAATGATTTATTTTACGCAACGTTGCACACACACACACAGATGGCTTAAGTGAGGAGAGCGGTGGGAATCGTTGCCTTGTTTTGTGGCAGGCTCTTGGTTTTTGGAGCTGCCAACATTGCGAGCTCTGCCTTTTATTTGAATTTGTATTTAGCTGCTGCATGCTTCACACATTTCATACATCAAACAGTTGCGTACGCGTAACCACCAAAACCTAATGCCATCATCACCTACACACATACGAGTATGCGTATTGGCAGCATCGCGAGCGAGCGAGCGAACAGCGTTGGCCGCAACGGGCGCCATGAATAAATAACGAAGCCACCAATGCTAACCAACATCGCTACTGCTTATGTGATTTATGCTTTGAATACATGAAACTATAATAAGCGGCAATTGTGCTGCCCCAAAGCTCTAGTACATTGATTGTTATAATATGAGGCACTAAAGGCTTGGCCAAAACAAAAAGAGAAGAGAAATAAAAGGATCGACCCAGACAAAAGTCTCGCCGGTCTGTTTAAAGCATTTTAGCACTTTAACACATGCTACGAGCCAGGCGGCAAGTGAAATAAATACACACAAACACTCACACACAACGATAAAAGGTCATTGTTATGTAATACAGCATGGCAGCAGCTGCTATTGGCCCCTTTTTGCGTTTGCCTTCTGGTTTTGCCGCAGGTGTGTTAAACATTTATGACCACAAATACGCAGATTTTATTACGCACGTCGCTGGCAACTTCTCAACCTCCCACAATTTCCGAATTTCTCTTCTGCTGC